TTCTTATTGACAGTCCATAAAACTGTGCTTGAAGGGTATCTATTAAAAAGAGATTTTCTTACCATTTTGAAACTAAAACTAGGTAATATACATTTTTAATATTGGATTCGATGTCTATTAGATTTATTACCCTTTCAATACGAATATTTAAATAGGTCTAGCTAGACCTAGGTAGATAGACCTAGGACAAAATTGTGTTTTGCGTTAACCTCGTACGTTATATCACGTTGCGAGCCCGGGTAACAGAATTAATCACATGAAGTTAGTAGCGGTATTGAGACCGCAAACAAGGCTGCTCTAAGCTCAGTATGCCAATACAACTCAATTACACACACATCCGTGCTTTGCAGAAAGCACACTTGTGGGGAAATTGTCGGAAATGTCATTTAATATTGTAGGTACTGAACTATTCACAGCGCGCGTACCTACGGTGCTTGTGCCTCAGTCTTTTTGTTAATTGTGTTCCTACCTATATTATTGGTAGTATTGTATCGCTGCTTGCTAAATTCTAAGTAGGTAGGTACAAGAAGTTTTTTGAGATAGATACTATTATAGTACGTAGGTACTCGTAATAGTTTATATTGAGTAGGTACCTTTACTTAGTTGTTTACTGTTTGTTTATTCTTAAATCTAATTATACTGTTACAACAGCCTAGGAAATTGGATTCATTTGAATGAAAAGCTTCAAGAAAGTAAGTTCATCAAGAAGTTTTTGTTCAGACTAAAATACTTTTCTTGGAAAATAATCTTGGAAGAAACATAGCCTATTTGAATAGGTAGGTATGTAATGGTTGAATTAATGTCAAAGCAACGTTACCTTATTTATTCAGGATCATTACCGGAATTATTGTAGTTCAGTACCTCTAGTAGGAAAAACTTTCGAGTTCGTTTCGTTGCGTATTCAAAGTGTCATCGAAAAATTTTGTATGAAAAATTAAACAGCGCCCCCTAGGGCGGCTATAATATAGGGGGCACTTTGAATACGCAACGAAACGAACTCGAAAGTTTTTCGTACTAGAGGTACAGTAGGTTCTTATGAACATTATTTTCATACTGTTATGTCTCTACATACCTACTTAGCGTCTTCGTCTCAGTCGTGGCCACAGATCTAGAAGACGGTGTAATAATAATCCATAATGTAGTTTCAGGTAACCTCATCCTACTCAAACAGTTCGTAACTTTCGAAAGCTTGTTGAACATAAAATAAATTGGCACCCTAGATTATTATTTTCAAAAACAATACGCTACAACGAAGACGGTTAAAACTACGTATGACGCTCCATACATCTCCCCCACACTCTTGCGCTGTCGACCACTATAGGTATATATTTACTTTACACTATCGCTGCGAAAGGATTAACGATTACGTTACTGATTTAATCATTACTAAGCAGAAGCTAATGCTTACGCAACACGAAATTGGTGTTTTAATCGGTTAATCGCCTTGATAAACGCATGGCTGATCATTAGCGCTAGCACAAAGAGTAGGTAGGTGCTGTGGTGGCTAAATAAATATGCGCCCGTGCCGATAGGGCAGCACTTAGCGCTGCGCAATTTAGATAGCGCTCTCCAATGGCAGGGCTCTCCGGTAACTGGCCGGCTGCGGTCGGCGCCACCACTCATTGGCGCCGCAATCTGGTGGTCTACTTAAAATTGAATTTAATCAATGCCAGACCAGATAAGAACCTTATCTTTACTACCCCCAGTGCTTCACCGTTCGCTGGCTGGTATAAATAGGTAGTGATATTATTTAATACTAATCAATAAGGCAATATTTTACAGGAAACTTGTTTAAGCAAAATAATCAAAAAAATTGTTTAATCAAAATAAGTGACACTTGAAGGTTCAAGTGTCACTTATTTTGATTGAATCATGAATGGTTTTCAGGGCTACGACACAAAGTCAAAACGTTATATGAGAGGAAATATAAACTTCTGGTTCTTTCTAGACAGTATGCAACCTTGCCCTTAACATGACAATGGCGTACTTAATCATATTATGTGCACATTTGCACCGATAACCTCATTATCTGAAGGACTAAGGAGAAAATAGATTTACCTACTTTCTGTACTACTACTACTACGCTGCTTCTATTAAAAAAGGTCTATAGCTGTAATGTATGTAGCTGCAGTTGCTTCAACAGCCTATACTAATAATAAACTACTAATATTATAAATGCGAAAGTTTGGATGTCTGGATGTTTGTTGCTCTTTCACGCAAAAACTACTAAACGGATCTCGATGAAACTTTACAGTATTGTTGCTCACAACCCAGAATAACATATTATAGGCTATAATTTATGACGATCTATGACAAACGAAATTTTACGCGGGAGAAGCCGCGGTCAAAAGCTACTAATAAAATACTTAGGCTGAGTTGCACCACCTAACTTTCACCGTAACTTTGACGATAACCGGTGTTTTTATGGAGTTTGACAGAGTTTTGACGTTTGTCAAAGTTAAAGTAAGTTGGTCCAACTCAGCCTTAGTTGCCTTGACCAGAGGCACCTAGTCTACGACTTCAGAAACATATAAACATGAGAGTATGTAAGCAGTTACTTTAATTTAAAGAAATATTAACGTTTTTCAATTCAACGGTTAATTTTGTGTAAGCACAACGTATCTCAAATATTTACCCACAAACTTTGCACACTCGATATCAACAATTGAAAATAAATATTTGATTGTGCTCCGATTTCATTTCGTTGGTTTCCCGTGGATTTTACGAATTGCGAAGTCGAACTGGAGTGTATTGTATTTTTTTCGAGCACTGTGATTGGTTTTTTAAATGCGTTGAATATTTGTGACTGTTCATATTTTTATTGCACATAAGTATTAGTACCTACTGCAATAGTGTTTTTAAATACTTACAATAAGTTTTAATGTGGTGATACACCGTGCCATAGAACTGTCTCTAATTTAAACCATTGTAGAGAAGTAAGTAGGTATTAGTTAGTACAAGTTAGCGTTTTAGAAATATTTTTAAGGTTGATGTGATCAAAAGACACTGACTGAGGCAGTGGAATGTTGATGGATGTTTTTAGTTCTTAATTAACTATTTCCTAAATTGTCAGAGTCTACTGGCTCGGCTAATACCCTGTATCAAGTACCGCATGATTGCTTATTTCATGTGCTGTTTGTACGTCGTAGGTATCTAATGCGTGTGTATTTTTCCTTCAAGATTATTATGGAAAATGAAACACCTTTTGATTCACAGAATTTATTAAAGCCAGGAACACAAGTGTCAATACATACAATGAAGTTCATTACATCACCGTAAACACAAAATTGATTAATCAGACAAACATTTCAGATTTTAACTATGGCTATGATTACTATGCTTAATGTAGACATCCAGATATATTAAAGTCCTCCTTGGGATTTGCACAGAACATTCATTTATCTACTATAGGTATGGATATTTCATTAAAGGTAACTAATAATTACGTAACATCATTTGATTTATAAGTTTGTATGTATTAAGTAAACTTTTCAAACAAATTTTCCTCCCGACTTTTATTTATGATGATCTTGAATCAATCCTATTAAAACTTTCAAGCTTACGACAAATTTTCTAATCCAAATTGGGAATGTCCATAAAAATAAGACTTTTATAAAAAGTTTCTTTTTGTATAAAAAAATGTATGTAAGCAATAAGTACCATCCAAAATATACTTTTGAATTTCGAAAACAAACTTTAATTACAGTATAGCCTATTTTTTTTATAATTAATTGACTCTTAGATAGATGGTCTAGTTCTTGAAATGATAAGAATTCTCAACGTTTAGTTTGGAACTAGGTGAGCCATCAAGAGGATTTGCCATCTGTAACGGAATAATCATGTTGTGGTTTTGTTTGTGCCAGTTCCACCACACACTCAATCAAACTCGGTGATTAGTTCCGATTCCAGCCAATGGGATATCATGATATGACAGACAATTCTTATAGGTAAGAAGCTCAGCGATATGATAAAGTTTTGAGTACGATATGACATCATAGGCTTTACCGAAGCTGTTGAAGTATATTCAGTAATTTTGTAATTGCACATTTAGCACACACGAGCATAGAAAAACTAGTAAACTTTTGGGCTTTAATATTCTTATTTATTTCATGATATAATAATACTTTCTCAAAAGTTTTCTCCACATCGACAAAATCATCTACCAGTTTTCCGGGGTAAGTTTTAACTCATTCGATTTCCAAACATCAAGGCTATGTTTACTTCAAGTTAGTTAACTTATTTTGGGGCTAGAGATAGTTGGATCGATATGAGTGATAGTTGGATCGATTTATTATTATTATATTTTGAATACTTATTCCACGATATCCTTTCCGAAAAGATTGTATTTTACTTACAAGTCATAGCCTCAAGCGATCGGATTCAATCTCACTTTTCGCGGTGTCGCGTCGTGTTTTCAGTAGCAAAAACATTTTATACGCCTAGCATTTTTTAAACTCCCTCCATTCCATTTTTTCGAACAATAATTGTTCAACATTTTCTAAAGTTACAATATTTTTACAATGTATTATAGGATTAATAGAATTAATTTACCTACTTAAGTAGGTATAACATATTTTCACATGTTTATCGATGTTATTTATTATTGGATTCTAGGTAGTACATAAAATATGAATGTATGAAGTCCAATTTCGCTGAAAAAAAATTTTGCATGTTTATAATACCTCGTAGAAATATTGTGTTCTCTTTTCCTCATTCTAATCTAAACTTGTATTTAATATTTTCCTTACATACTATCTTCCAAGTTTAATATATTTAGGTATATAATATTCACTTGCTAATTACAAACATCAAATACATGTCATCTAAGTACAATAATAATATAATATATTTGTATACACAGTGAACATTTTCACATAGATTTATAAAAGTTTACAATACACGTACGATTAAACTAACAATGAAAATCAGTCGTCAAAGACAAATGTTAATAGATTTATGTGACGGACGAGTGATAATACAAAGCTCGTTTGCCTCGCAATACAATATAAAGATTTCAATAAAAACATAAAATATATATCGTCAGTGNGATAATATTATTTTTTATAAAATAGGTGTAGCAAGCTCAATAGTAAATATAAGGATATAAAATAGTAAATATTACAAAAACGTTAGGACTCAGGTAAAATGTCTTAAAAAATTTGTGATCAATCATTCAATAAACATTATTTTGTGAGGAAGTAAAGGAGAAATGTTAAGATTATAGAAGGTATTTATTTTGACGAATATATGCATTTGAAGCGGATGTGACCTGCGTGTTAAAGCTTTGTGCAGAATTATTCAGACGAGCGAATTTGACCACAGGTGCTTTGATAGTGTAAAATCTAAAGGAATGATATTACATTGGATAACAACGAGTCTTAAAGTACTTGGTCGGGAATTTCTAATAGAGACTAACGACTAGGGACATAAGCTCAGAGGGTGCATACTAACTATACACATACAAAAGTTTGGAAAGTACACATTCACAATTATACGTAAGATTAATATTCTCTCATGAAGAAGGATTAAGTACACAGTCTTTGTAGTAATTTTACATTAATTAATACTGATCTGTCAATATATCTCAATATACATAATAAATAGGTAAATATAAATACTCATAAAACTAAATTTTGATTTAAAAATATGAACTCTTTTTGTAAATTATTTTAATATATTGTCGACATTATATTGGACGAGTGTGCAAATAGAAATAACGTAAATCAACAATAAAAAAGTTATCTGACAAAGACGATACAAATCAGTTTACTGTTCGGCAAATCGTAGCTTCTGTTTCTTAACGAAATCCATGGCCATCTTGTCAGTGGTACGTGATTCCAGGATTTGTAAGATGGAGTGATCTGTAAAACAAAAGTTAAGGTAGAAGCGTAGGTATCATTTCACCTAGACAGTTTACTCATTACCCAAGTTCAAAAGATTCACAAGAAAAAGTTAAACTGTTATTGAACCCGCAACGAAAAAATCACATGTACAATGTACCCGAGAGCTACGAAAGTGACAAAAAAATCACTCATCGTATTCACTCCGAGTTTGTTCCTAAACCTTGTAGTTAAAATAGAACCTAGCTAGGTGTATCGCTAACTAGCAAGCCGAACAATGAGCGTCGTGCCACGGATTAGTGTTGTAGATTCACGGTAAGCACAAACACTGAACTTTTAATGCAAGGATTTGCTTCTCCATTATGCTCAAGTGGCGGCCGTGGAGGGACATGAGAAACGCCGAAGTTAGCTCGTTAGCGAACGGACTGCACTCCCCGAGCTCTGCTGGTGTGTTTTAACAATTGATAATGAACAACTAAAATGTAAAATGAAAACAATATAAAATGGCCTGGATTTCAAGTCTTCAAGTCCACATTTATGCTTCCTGTTTCGAGCAATATTGAAATTGCATACACATTGTTGACATCTTATCTACATAAGTTTACCTAATAAAGTGGATTGTAAGTTAACGATGTATCAATTAGTTACTAATTAATAAGTTTTCGTTGATAATAAAGACTGTGTTATTCGTTTTCGTAAAAAGATATGACAAGGTTAGAAATCCTGAATGAACCTACATTATGTCCTATCCTATCCTATATTAATATTTCAACGGGATTTTATCTTAAAAACCTAACCTAGAGTTTCATGAGCTATTTGACACTCTGACTGATAGTGACATCAAAGCACCGCTGAAGGACTAAGTTCTACGACGTAACATATACGTGACCTGACTCGGCAACACAGAATAGATGCTACTTTTATAACGCAAGTGCATGTGAGGTCATATTTCGTAGCAAAATATAGCTGAGGAGGCGAGAGCCGGGCGTAGCGTTGTCAGATATAATTTGCTGCAAAAGTTGTGAGGGTTTGCGAGCACAAGCACCTAGCTGTAGGTCCGAATTTACGAATCAGTCTCTCTAGCTTAAATACTACTTACTTTTCTCAGACTAAGAATTAAGTAGGTTTATAAAAAATAACCCATATGATGTAATTTTAATAACATTGGTCAGAGATTAATTGTCAAAAAATCGTCAGACCCCACGTTCATCGGTATTACCTTGTATTAAATTACTTACGTGATATAACTATTATTATTGAAGTATAGGTACGAGAAGAACGAAGAGATAGGTTTCGTAATTCTTTTCCACTCGGTGACACTCGCAGTAACACCATTTGGATGGCACTTGTTGGCTACACACGTGCCATTGCCGTAAAAGTGTTTGTGGCCAAGTCGTAACTTATTGGACTACGTGAACAGGTTGCAAAAGGTAAAACGTTCGGCAAATAATGCAGTATTCATTCAGTGAATATAGCACATCTGAAAGGATTTGGAGTTTGTTTTGATTGTTTGTGCAAACGTAAAGGCAAACGTTTCGATATTTGAAGAAGGAAACATTTCAATATTTTATAAGACAGACCGGATGCAAAATAAGTAATAAATTCTGCCTGCCTACAAGGATTCGCAGATCGAGTTTCTTTCAGGTCTTATTTACTGAAAACTATTTGCACATTATACCAAACACGACTAAAGTAAATTGAGCTAATACTCTAACGCAAACTAGAATTTGCTCTACATTTTCCTCAAAGCGACAAATTTGCAGCTGCTACTTAGAAATCTAGATACCTACACCAAACACGACACAAGTTTCATCTTTATACAAGTCTTCAGAGATAGTAGAGCAAAGGAATTTAACTTACTCCGATCGTGAAGCTGCATCAAAGGTAGTTCGAGCGGACGCAAGGGGTCGGGCGGCGCGTGGCTGTTGACGCCTGGTATCCTGGCCAGCGACACGAAGGCTTCGCCGGCAAAGTCGTCCGCGGTGAGCACGTCACGGTCCCACACCGAAAGCGACAAAGCCGCCTGCGCAGAGCGGCACGCTTCCAATGACACGCTGAACTCGAAGCACTCGTCCCACACCGGATTAAGAGTTTTCTGTTCAAAATGTTATACTCAAGTTACTGTGAAAGGCTCTAAAGGATTGTAACCAAACACCTGCATCTACAAAGGAAGAACAAACTCAATAAGATTTCATTTTTAAATCCTATTATGGCATGGTTCCACATTTTACTAAAGTATAGATAACTATATTCTTTTCAGCTGAAAAGTATAAGAGGTAATAACATACATTGCTTTGAAGATTATGTTTTCATTCGCCTATATTCCCTTCTGGTTTATTTAACTATAGTTACTAAAGTATAAAGTTAAATAAATGACAACCTACGAGTATATAGAGACTTTTAAAGTACACTCTTCTAAATTAGGTCATCACTGTCTGCTCCTGTTTATTATACATGGACTTATCTTTTTTACAACAAACCCACTATATCCGGTCAAGCTTCCGTTGCCAGTCAACCCATGTCATCTAGGGAAACGATGTCCATTCTTGTTGATGTGCCTACTACGTGAGGTATTGCTAGTAAAGTTGGTATTCATAGTTATGTAAATTACGTAGGTTTATAATACAACATCAGTACTAATGCATATGAATAAGCTAACATTTATTTTGTTAAACAACTAGCTTACCTTTTGGACATTCGTGGTTTGCTCATGTGCTTTCGGAAAGAGACGTTTTGGAAGAAGCTCCAAAACTACAAATGGATCGCTGAGACCATTTGGATCGAGAGGAATGACGTCGCGAGCTGACAGAACTTCCACGCATAGCGAGTCATGGTTGAAATATACCCTGAGAAATAAATTGTGTAATGTTTATTGGGTAACACATATTTTCGCGTCTTTGTTTGGAGATCGTGAAATAGCTACCTCACTAGTATAGACCCGTATGGTGAGGGCAGCGGAGTGCGCAACTGTTCGGTTATTCTATCGGCGAGCCACCCTTCCAGTAATTCCTCCGTTGGAGCCTGGTGATATTGCATCCTTTGTTCCACACGGCCCCATTCTACGTTATGCACCTCCTGCATCGGCAAACCTAATAGAAAGGAATAATACGAATTCATATCATATTTTTGTTATTATTAGGAAGCACGATGAAATAACAGATAACTGAATGATATCATGTGTTAAGTAGGTATTAATTAGATTATTTTTATTAAGTTATCTTTAGCAATCAATAATACTTGTACATATCGTTTAGATTCCGGGCAGAGTTTCCGTATAATTGACATTGGTTCAGTGCAATGTTAAACAAGTGCAAGTACATAACCATTATGTAATGTTAGATAATGTTATAAACAAATATTTTTACGGTCAATAAAATACGCAATATATCACCTTTTCCTTCGGCATGAAAGAAGTCAGCGAGTAAGTCAAGGGCTTCCCGCAGCCTGTGGTGGTAGACCCTGGGTCTCTCCGCGCCACCCGCGTCGGCCTGGGTGGAGACTTCTTTCAGCACGGCGCTCCAGTACCCAGCCAGGGCTCTGGTGAAGGCGCGCGGCAGCAGCCACGTGTTCAGGGACGAGAGGTGCTGATCCAGGTACTCCAGAAGAGGAGTTATTGCCTTTGGGAGAATGCCACGAACTGGTAAGTTCTTTTACGGACAGCCCTACCTGTTTGTCAGATTTAGAAATATACCAAGATTTCTTTTAAAGATCTAGGAATACGAGTAGGTAATGAAAACTGAAAATTTAAATGTGACGCGTCTTACATTTTCAACATGTGAATTTATGATGATACGAGGCGGGATGCTATCGGGGAGCAGCAGGCGTATCAACTACGAAAGCTCATTTGAGTGGAAACGACAGATACGTCGCGATGGGTAACTTTTCAAAAGACGATAACGGGGTAACATATTTCGATGTAGGCACTTGATAGCAATTTAGGGTCCAAAATTTATTCGGAACCATAATCTATACTTATAATAAATCTGTAGAGAGGTCAATTCTGTACATGAAATATATTTTCAAAATAACAGTGATCGATACTGATGCCAAAAATGCAATCAGTAAAATTTGTGTCTGTCTGTCTGTCTGTCTGTATGTTCCTTATAGAAACAAAAACTACTCGACGGATATTAACGAAACTTGGCACAATTATTCTTCATACTCCTGGGCAGGTTATAGGATACTTAGGAATTCCCACGGGAACAGGAATTAGCGGGAAAATCCTTTTGTATGAAAAATCTAAACCGCTTAAGTAAGACGCTTGAAATTTGGCATGTAGGTACCTTAGTAAACTTAAAGCTTAGTTACAACAGGATAGTGCAAAATTCCTACGGGAACGGTAATTAGCGGGGAAATCCTTTTGTATGAAAAATCTAAACCGCTTAAGTTAGACGTTTAAAATTTGATATGTAGGTACCTTAGTAAACTTAAAGCTTAGTTGCAACAAGAAATTCCCGAAATTCCAACGGGAACGGGAATTAACGGGAAAATCCTTTTGTATGAAAAATCTAAACCGCTTAAGTTAGACGCTTGAAATTTGGCAAGGTTTTTGTAAGTTTTATCTGTGGTTTTGTTAAAAAAAGTAGTAACTACAGTAAGTTTTAATACTTTTCAAACTTAATGATTTCATCTACCTACCTAAATCACCTAACTAAAAGAAAATTATGTTTAGAGAGGAATTGCTATTGTGTGGCTAGTTACCCACCATTATTCATGTAGCCATTTAATATTTATTTCTAAGGGTCAGACAGACCTTATTTCGAAGGTTTTACAGACACTGTAGCTTGTTTCATAATAAATCCTTATTTACATTCTTACTTCAGCCGACAATTTCGCGCGGCTCTCTGCGTCAAGTAAAAATAAGGTTCTGTACCTCTAGTAGGAAAAACTTTCGAGTTCGTTTCGTTGCGTATTCAAAGTGTCATCGAAAAATTTTGTATGAAAAATTAAACAGCGCCCCCTATATATTATAGCCGCCCTAGGGGGCGCTGTTTAATTTTTCATACAAAATTTTTCGATGACACTTTGAATACGCAACGAAACGAACTCGAAAGTTTTTCCTACTAGAGGTACTGTAATGAGTTTTTTACGCGTCAAGTGACTTACGTTTCGTGCTTATCTTTGTGTTTTTAAATGAACATTTTCCGGTTTAAAAAGTAACCAACTCGTCTGTTTTAATTTAAAATTATGCATGTACTTATAGTTACTTGATTCCAAGTAATACGAGAACTTTCTGCTTTTCAAATTTAATTTAAAGTAAATTTAATGAAGTACCTGCTCTACTTTCATCCGTACGACTCATAATTAAATTAACTTTCTGAATCTTTCTAGGATGATCATATTAATGTAATAAAAGTGAAAGTGTGGCGCAGACATGCTTTCAGCTACACTGAAGCATACAACACAATTTAGATTATCTTAATTAGCTAAAAGTCTGTTAGAATTTTCTAGATAAGTGGTTATTTCGTCTATTACATTCCAAGTAAAGGTACGATATCGCGTAGCTGACGTAAAAATACTCATAGTTAATTGTTATTACTTTCCATTTAAAATAATTAAAATTCCTCTAATGGATGACTACTAATCGAATGTAATACATTTTTTTGTGGAAGTGTATTTTGTATTGTATTGTATAGTGAGTGAGGTAGACTTTTTACGGATACCTACTACTTTTTGAAGATGGAAATTCGTTTGTGACTTCTCCAAATAGACACACTTTGAATCCCAGATACAGGTAGAACTACACACGCCACACTATTAGGTTTGAGTAACAAATTGAACTGAGTCTGCTTCGCTTTGTAGAAGCCAAGTAAGTACTGCAATCCGAATCGCAACCGTTCTCGTAGCACTGTTGCGCTACGGAAAACTCTGTGTTACCGGAGATCCTTGAGTACCTCGGATGGAAACACTACAGTTAATTTTATTGTATTTGGCATCTGGCACTTATAGACATTTTAATATTATTATGAGAAATTGGCAGTCCTGATATAAATTAGTTATTATTTAACGACTACGATAACAATGTAAAAATCAATACTCATTTTGTTTTGTAAATGTTGTTTTGCAAAACAACGCTGTTAATTGACAAGCAAAGCTAGTAATGAGTAATTTCATCTCGAACCTAGGCTCTACATTTCCAATTAGAACGCAAATCAAATGGCACACAGCGATACCCCCTCTTGTAGAAGGCAATGAGTTGTCGTCCTTAGCTACATTAGCGAGAAGTTTAAACAGTGCCATAGTACAAAAGCTTCGCCTTTAATTTACCTACGTCTCTAATTTGAGAGCTCCAGGACTTAAATGCAACATGATCTGAAACGAACTCAAAACTCGATTCAAATTCAGGCATATATTGAGGCTTGACCAATCAAAGGACATAATCTATAACTAAGATTGATTGAATCGAGTTTTGAGCGTCATCTTATACTTAATACGGTCCTATCAGTACCTGAAAAACATATCATTGTGGTCGTATTTACGAAGTAACTGTCAGACAGTTTTGTGTGCCTACCTGTGCCGTCGGCAACGTGTCCGGTGACCAGGCCAGATGGAACACCGCCTTCCTGAGTGGCGGGCGGGAGCGTGCGGCAAGCGGCGCGGCGGCGCGGGCTGAACGTGCGTCCAGCGTGCCCAGGGCTCCACGCACCAGCTGCCGGGCGTTCTCATCGGCACTGCTCATGTGGTCTGTTCTGTTGCTAAACCTGAGAGGGAACCGTAGAGTGGGCTTGGTGATGAATGACAATGATATTGACAACCGTGTGCCACCACTAGCACGCTTGGAATGCATTTAAGCAGTACCGCGCGATGGAAACAATTTGATCATGCACATAAGGAAATATATTAACAACAGTTAAGTGTTGAACTTTACCTATCATAAATATTAAAATGTTAATTAAATAAGTAATAAATAAATAAAAGCTAAAATGAAGACGTCGCGTAATTTGATATATTCAATTTCCTAAACATTAACTTTTTTATCAGACTAAGAATTTAAAATGTTATTGCGAAACGAACTATAAATTAACTTTTCCCAGAACAAAATGAGTCATAATAATAACTTTCGCTGAAATAATTACACAAAAAGTAGAAAGAATAAATGAACGTAATAAAGGAATAACTACAGGAGCCCTGCGAAAAGTAGAAAAGCGAATCATTTATATAATTTGCTCCACTCCGCGTTCCTTTCTGTTCCCATTTTGAGATTTGTTTCCTGCTAAGTTTATGGACTGATTCCGTACGAAGTAAAAAGTTTAAAATGCCGGTACGTACAGTACATAGTATAGTATACTTAGAGCTTACATTTCATTAAGCACATAATACGCATACGTAGGTATACGTAAACGTTTTCTTTGTCGTATTACTTTATTTAAAGAGACGCGACGAAATAGGAGTAATTTTCTCATTCAAAGTAAACGTCCTCAAATTAAGTGGAAGTATTCCTTCATCGTCTTATATTGTTGATAAACGTGTTATTTTGTGTTGACGAATATTATGTCATTTCCCTTTATACAGCTTTTTGTGTACTATGTAATATAAACATTTGTGAAATTTTATGAGGTCACCATCCGCATTTGGTAGTAAATTTTCCATTACTGATTATAGTTCTACCCATAAAGCTACGATAACAATCTAAACACATTTAGAAGCTTTTAACCACTCGCATAATTATAACTGAGGTGGTCTTATCTTTATGGTCTTGCGTTTACTGAACAACATGAAAGAACTGTAATAGCTTACACGATATGAACCTTCTGTCTTTTTTATTAATATCTCTATCGTAAATGTACGAGTATGTATGTACCTACCGGCAGGAGTAAAAAAGAAAATTCAGTTTCAATATAATCTTTTCAACTACTCAAATTACATCAATTTAGGTACATTCGTAACACGACGAGTCACTCAGGTCAAACGCTAAAGTTGCTTCAACTGCAAAGTGGTAAAGTGTAGGTATATGTTTCCCATTACAAGTTTTCCAGTTAATCTCAGGGAAAAAACTTGCCAAACTTCTTGTGGGTTATACGATTTTCCGTTCTCTTTATTTAGCTTCTGAGTGTTTCTACAGGTCTACACATAACTGGGGCACGATAGAAAATGAGCAAATATACACAGATGTTGAACGTTCTTGTTATAAAAGTTGGTACACTCTCTCTGTGACATTTTTAGAACCCAATTTATACTTTGAAAATTATTGTCTTTTCTATTGCAGCATTTGAGTTAAACGGTTTGTAATTAATGCTATTGTTAACGCCATCTATCGGCGTATCAGCGCACATAATACGTCTGAAGTTGTATACGAGCAAGGAGCCTGGAGGGGAGCGCGGGGGCGGCCCGCGTCAACTTCACTCGATTACNGCTATGATTGGAGCAGTCGTGTTACAGGAAAGTGAAGGTTGTTCAGAGCGGGCGCTGAAAGCGTTGTGTAGGTTTGTGAAATAAGAGCTGAATTCGCTTGTACTTGCTAAACATGGTAGTACCTACCTATATTCGTAGTATATGAGTCATAGTAGACATGCTACTCGTAGCATCGGCAATTCGTTCTTTACCTTTAGTTTTTTTACATTTAGGTACTTAGGTAAAGTTTTTAGACTGCGTGCATTCGATCACGGTGTCAACGTGATTTGTGTCCGAAATACGTACCTATTTCAATATCTCATAAAAATATCACACCAACTACATACCTACCTATGACGGTTCGTCGATTTAAAATTTGTATTTATGTACTTTTGAAAAGCGACTCGGTTGCCACGGGCTTTTATGTGCGATGTTATGATGTGAATCATTGAGAACCAGTGACGTGGAATTCGTCACCACATTGCAATAGGAATGCGACAAGTGACTCGCTCATCAGTTAGCTCTAGTCTGCTCAGGTGTTTCTTATTTTTTCGTGTTTTTTGTGCTTAATTTATGTGTAGGTATTGCAATTCGTATGTAAGTATTTTACTATTCAAATCGTCGATGCTTCACGCAGGGACGTTGTGGATATCCGTAACTGTAACCGAAACTTTCGGATATCCGAAATAAAGAAATATCCGAAACCGTAACCGTAACCGATTCCTTTTGAATCGGTTACGGTTACGGTTTCGGATATTTTCGGATGTAGTTAGTTTAAATTGTTTTTTGTTTAGCATTATACGTAAAGGCATAACAGTCTGATTTACCTTTAAAATGCCATCTACGTAGTATAATTTATTTTTTATTACTTTTTATTCGATGTAAAGTGTGCGGCCATGAATAAACCGTGTTGGACAACTATTGCAAATTGCATTCTAAAGCACAGATATCCGTAACCGTATCCATAACCGAAACTACATATCCATAACATCCCTAGCTTCATGTAGCGTGTCTGCTGCAGCCCTGATTGCAAGCGTCGGCGGGCGTCACGGTCGGCAGATTAGCGGCACTTACATGTGTTCGTCGTCGTACTCGGCGAGCGAGCGGCGCACGTACTCCAGATTGTTCACGATCGTGCAGATCTCTTCGGTGGTCTTGTTTTGACCTGGGACAAGAAATTTGATTGAATTCCAAGATAATTCGCGGAAATACTTAGAGGTATCTGTTAAGATTCCACTGTATAAAAATACCATTATTTTTAAAAGCTTTTTACCTAACTTGATTTAGAAAAAAAAACAAATGAACTCTGGTAATTACACGAAAAGTAAAATAATTGATTTTCCCAAATTCTATTTTATTTTTCTTTTGTTTCTTTATGATTTATTACTTCTTTTCTGATACTTACCTATATTTTGCTGCAATTTACACAATATTTTTAATAAAATAAATTAAAACGTTCTTAAAAATTATGCAGCTGTCTACACGAGGCCAAAATGGTTCATGATTTTCCCCATGTCTTTTTAGGAATAGGTATTTCAATAACAATAATTTAGTAATTTTACTAGGTTTTACTACAGCTGCCGTCTCTATTATCCTTCTCATTAGCTTTGATAGCAAAGCAAAAGTAAAGAAATGTAAGTACGTTTCTACACACATGAATTTGAAGACCTAAATCTACCTAGGCATTGAATTCACAGCCTTATTAAATGTCCATTGCTGCGCAGAACTTTGTAAAGATACGCTTTCGATTCACAGAAGCTCACTTTCAATGCCGCTTTACAAACGCTGCGTCGAATATTAGAAATTATGTGAACGTTATTCGCATCGCAGCGTGAGATTTGAGGGCAAAAATGCTTTTGCATTATAGTAGACAATGAAATTAATGTGAATGGATCGGTCTTCAGAGGAGCGTAGCTGAGACAATATTGACAAGTGAGATTAATAGATGTAGTCGTGCTGAGAGGCGCCGGGCGGCGGCGCCGAGTGCCTCTTAAGCCGCATGAGGTGAATGAGAGTGACGTGCCCTCTGACACTAACGTGACCGAATCAACTAGTTGTTCATCATTGGGCGCCAATCAAGCTATTTAAAACTTTGTGTATTTCAGTCATACATTGTGACCTTTTTGTAGATATTAAATGTTAGATAGTTTGAAGTGTAGCGTGGTGTAGCTAGCGAATAGAGAAAACTTTAAAGCTCCGGGCACACAGGATAACAAAACTACAAAACAAAAGTAATTCCGCACTAGCTTTTCGTGGCTTGGGTCTAAAACCACCCAATTAATTTTATTGATAAGGTAAACTAAAAAATAAGGACTAAAAAGCAAACATATCAGAAATCAGAAATCAGAAATATTTATTTGCTTTTACATGGTTTTACAAGATATTATTATTACAATTGGCATGTCCACATGTTGACTTAATTAGTCATGCAAATATTGAGAAAAAAAAGAAAAATTTAAGTACAAAATAACAATAATAAATTACAGCGTTTGAATGTCAGGATTATTATTACATATTATACTTAGAAAAATATAAATACCAATGCTTGATGAAATAAGGAATCAAAATAGCTTTGTCGCTATATTATGTATCCATGTAGGTAACTTTTTTTCTTCCAGCTATATCTACAAGGGTCTACCTACATAATAAGCCGCTTAAAACATGTGCTTAGCAGTTACAATCGCAGTAGAGTTCTCTCGACATCGTGTATGAATCGCGATATTATGGAAATAGTGTTTTCGCGAACAATATCCCATTTCCACTTCTCGGACCGGGCGGGATGGAAAATGCTAGACCGGATCGGGGCAGGGAATTGCGGAATAGTCTATTCGACGGAATTGTTAGGTATGTACCTGCGTAGGAATCTAGTACTGACCTACTTTCGTACTACGAAAATATGAATATTGAAATAGCAGACAGCAGCTTGAGAAGAATAGACGAGGATAAGGGTCTATGCCGTTCAGTGATCTGACGTAGGTTACCATTAGTAATTACACATACCAAAAATAAATAAAAATACCTATAAATTCGTTCGGAGGTTTGTTATGATACCTACAAGTTAGATTTTACCGGGGCAAAGTTATTACTTAGTCATAATTTGGTAACTATCAGAGACTGCTACTCAGAAGCCCACACACGTTTCACCTCAATTTCGCAGCCAGTTCGAGTTTATAAAGCGCTGACAGTAACGAATCGCTTCTGCAGACGCCGGCGGAAACGACAAATCTGCGCCTTCCGCACTCGCCGTATATTTTGAAGAATGCACTACGAACGTAGTGGCCTAGGTACGATTTCTGGACCAACTTGAAAACTACCTCTTCAGGATTGCCTAGCCAACATGAAATGCGACATTTCAACATTTTATAGAAAGGACAATTTTATTATTGTTTCTCTAAGTTTTTCGTATAGTTATTAAATAAAAAAATAAAAATACGGTTATTATACGTATGTAACAAGTTGGGCATCTAATTAACAACACTTTTAATGTTAGAAATCACTGTAGTATAGTCACTTATGATTAGTCAATAGGTACGTACAGTCTACCAATGTTATCAAACTTGCCACTTAAATGTTATAATTTAATATTGAGAAGATAAATATTTTGTTTTCTTGAATAATTTAGCAAAGCCTGCGAGACTAACGAAATCAAAGCAGTTGTAATAAGAATATTAATAATAAGCACATTTGAGAGCCATTTAATTAGGAGGCTTATTAAGTCTGGAGAGAGTAGACAGGGGCGGAGCATAAATGCAACATAAATTATTTAAATACTACGAAAATATGTTTTTTAAGTTAGTTAATAATTAATTAAAAGTAAAGACTAAATTCTCATGGCCACAAAATAAGGCTCCAGCGGGTACATACCGAATTAGTGACCTCAGCTATTACTCTAATTAGAAACTCGCTGAGAATATGTGAGTATTGATTGAGCACTTGAATGATATAGAGACTGGACGGCTCAAGCTCGAAAACCCGTCTATTATGCTGCTTCATGGAGCCGCTAATAGGACGCCACACAAACCCATGAATCGATATAATGGTTTCTACACTTACCGTGGTTCTCGTAGTATCCCTGGTCAGCCAGCGCCCCGTGCACGAGGTCGGCGTAATGCAGCGCGGTGGCGCAGGCCGCTTCCAGCAAGCGGAGGCTGCCACCGCCGGTACCCTCCTCGGAGCCACCAATGGCGCGCCACACCAGTCGCATGTGGTAGAGGCTGTTTGGATACGTTACTTTTTAACAAAATACGTCATGGCATTAGGTTCGCCTTATGTTATTACGTCATACTCTGTTATATTGTGCTCTGTTAAGTTTATCGTAAGAAAAAAGGGAATACTTTTTCGTGTGATCTTCCACCTCATTTTAGTTGTAAACGTAAAAAGTAAGTACGTTTCCCCATCCGTAAACTCGTAAACAGACACGTTTAATTAACTACAAAGTTACAAAGACAGAAGCCGCTTCCGCGTAAAGTAGTCAAATTGTAATAAAATGTGGACTGCGTAACGGAGATGAACAGCTGGAAATTAATCCGCAACAATACCGTCTTGTAAATGGGTTTAATCAAAAATCCTAGCAGATCACAACGAAATTACACCGGCCCTGGTGCCCGCTGTGACTTTGTAACTCTTTATGTAAATAGCCCCGAGTTAATTACGGGCCTGGTGTTTGTTGATGAGCCCTCTTGCTCTGATAGTGCAAGAGTCATGAATGAAAATTGAACGAAGCTGTGTGTGACACTCATGTAATTGTGCATTTGCGTCATCAGTGGCCCTTTGTTGCGGTTGTCGTGTAATTAATATCTTGAATACAAATTAACTAAATTTTGCAGATCTATTCTGTAACAATAATAAGCAATTTATAAAGTAGCGTTTGCCAATTTGATCAATGTGACCCGTCTGACTCTAAAGTTAAGAAGGTTTAAGTAAAAGCACATCTATTTTTCATAAAAAAATCACGTCTCAAAAGAAATTTTGCTTTTCTATCCCGAAGAGAAAAGCCATTTGAAATTCAGTAGTAGGTATTCATGTAGATACGTCAATGTAGTCCAAGGGATCTTTTGTGAATTGTATGTTAATTCCGTAGCCTGAATATCTACACACATTATAATATGTATAAATGCGTAATGCATAAATTAACTAACTTTGTGGTAGACCACTTTAAAAAACTGAGAGAGAATAGGTACCTAACCTATATTAGGTAACCTACTTGGTTACTGCCACTAAGTATCGGACTTAGTGTGGAAGAACAAAATACGAAGAAACTATACTTACGAGAAAATTTCATCTTACCTTTGAACAATTTCACAATACAGATGACAAATGAAAATGAATGACTGACTTACCAAGCCGCTGTGTCCACCGATGAGGTGCTGTGCTTCACGAGGTGTTCCCCCTCTACGGGGCGATCTAAACAATACATTACAAAATATAAATGTTTTAAATTGAAGCGAAGTAAAAGGTAAAAATAATTAACCAATGATTACTATGCCACTCGCTATCAGTATTAGCGTATACAATTCACAAGCAATCGTATAATTGTCTCTAACCAATAAAAGGTTTCGTGTTACGGTACAGTTTAGATTTCGATTGTTATCTAAATGGCCGGCTGCCTTAGCGCGGGTGTGAACCTTTGCCTTTTGCCCTCTCGACAATAACTGCCTACTCAAAAACAAATCTTTTCCCTCTAAACTTACGCCACGATTTCCTTTGAAGTTTTCAATGGATAACTTTTTACGAGTTTACGAGCTTTCTTCCTCCACGAAGGCAAGCTTCGGAAATGGTGTAACTTAGAATTTGATGGCTGTCAGTTTTATGGTGTGGTTGGTGTAAAGTCAGTATCTTATACTAATTATCTGCCTGAAGTACCTTTCATTATTATTAGTATACTTATTTACTAAGGTAAAGTGTATTACAATAGATACTCCTTATAGGGCCACCTTAAAAGTTTCACGTATGTACAGTAACACTTCTATCTTACGATGCAAATACTTTTTGTAAGTCGATTAACGTAGTTTCCTTTCTTACTACTTGCGTATACAACAAATGCGTAACAATCTACTTTCCCAACTTAAAAAAAACTATTATTTTAGGGATACCTGGAGGTACTAAAAGGTTTAAGTAACACTTACCGAGTTCGACAGCCGCCCGGACCCTTTGCAGCGCCATAGTCTTGGTAACGGCCAGCCAGCGGTCCACCAGGGGCTCGAACCACCTGTGAGAGCATACCGCACTTATCGTATCTCCCTTTATTATTTATGCATCCACCATCAATATAACATTCCCCACAAATTTATGCGGCGACCGTAGGTAGCCCTACTTCGTTTTCACTATCGTTATAATATAGCAAGGCGTCGACTTTGCGAATATTTTACGAATGACATAACACCTTATGTAAGGAATGTTCATGCATAATTTACTTACTTTACAAACATGATGATTATGAAAAATGTGATGTACCTAATAAAAGTTGTAGGTATATGATTGCTATTTAAATATGAAATATCTGTCTGAGTATCACACATCTAATAATATTTTATCGCTAAACATTGTAGTTGAAGCATATCATATTGATATGACTAGGCAAAATAAAACACGAATTTTGCTCCGTATTAAAATCGTTCTTGCATTTAATCGGCCATATCGCTTTCGTATTCGAATTTTTGTTTACCTGTGGAAGCGGGGGCAGTCGGTCGAGAAATTTCTCTCGATAGCAATAAAATCAAGCCCTATATAAAATTATGATTTGATCATCCAAGCTTTCACGTCTCGGCGATTTTCCTCGCAAATCTAAAAGGTGTAAACAATCGACTGTTTGAGCCTCAGGAAAAAGCTTTTAACGTGGGGCTTCCAATATGTTGACATTTTTCACAGAGGCTTTTGTGGGATAAGATGCCTATATATTATTCGTAATTTACAGATGTTCAAGAGATTTATATGATTCTGTACTAAAAATGTTGTGTATTCTGTTTCTTAATTAACTAAATATTGTCTAAAACAAAATTTAGTCGACAATCGAAGCTCATATCGGCAAATTTTAAGTTACGTCGTTAATGAAACATTTCAAGTGAACAAACAAAGTGCTAATCTCATCCGCGGTTTACAGGCTAATTAGCGCCGGCTAATTACCATCTTACTTAGCTAATAACCGTGCAAGCTTCCGTGACCCACGCGAGCTGGCGTCTACGGCATTTTAATGTTTACAAGAATACCTTACTTCCGCAATAAAAGTTTCTAGCACTTGATATTTCTCGATCTTGGTCTTGATATTTACTGGTAGGATAGTCAGACATATTCCATAAAGATTTAGTTTTTTTTTGGAGCTAAAGAACCTTAAAACACATCTGCTAACTCTACATGAAATCAATTTCAGATTTATGCTGATTATATGCACGCAGCATCTTATATTTTCATTTTATCCCGATCGCCTATTGAGGTAGAAATTTAAAAGTCTATTAGGTGGCGTAGCTGCGCCGCTTAAGTTCTAAAGAACCGGGGCAGAACTTTCTAATGCTGAACACGGAGCAATTATTCATCGGAGGGTACATTGTATATTGCGGATCATTATGTAATTAATATCTTAATTAGAAGAGGCAAGATGAATTATTGTGACATCAACCAACTGATGATTATTACTCCATTTGCCCTAAGTGAGTGAAATTGCCTTTCATCCGGAATATTATACACATTCCAAAGTTAGTGGCGCCGGAATCATTTGCACTGTCAAGCTAGTATTAAGTTAATCTACTGGATCACTAGGTGCTACATTTTTCTCCAAGTATGTAATTGACTAAATTAGTTAGATGTAAGTACCTACTAATCATTGAAAGTATTATTTTGATAACGAACTTTTTTGGNTTTACACAATTCGCCGAAATACCGTACCTAAATTTTTTGGAATATCAATGGTGAAGGAACATGGCGATGGCGTAATTTTGCCTTGTAATTTCCATATACTTACTAAGGCTGAGTTTAAAGGTAACTTTAACCGATGTTTTTTGTCAAAGTTAAAATAAGATGGTGGAACTCAGCATATTAAGTTATTTGATTCAAAGTTACTGAAATTCGAATGTTACAGCTTCTCGTAATTAAAATCTTCTCGATTTGCAAGGCTAGAATGAAGTGTTGGGCTAATGTGAGATGAATTAAAATTTGTATCTTGGAATTTTTCGTTAGTGTTGTCATACTAGTCAATAGTGCTTACTTGTAAGCGTCGAGCAGCTGCGGCGGCGGGTCGTGTGTGAGGTGAGGAGGCGGCGCGGGCGCAGCCGCTGCGCACAGCTCGCGCACCGCTGATAGCACCTCAAACGGGAGCGTCTTTGCCGACACAATACATACTAAACACACATAGTAATTATTCATTGTTGTACTCGTACGCGTGTCGCAATGTTATTTAATCGACTGGTAGATAAACGATGAAACATTTTAGACAAACAAACAATAAAGAGGGTTTAAAGGATAACACAAGTTTTAATGGAAATACTGTATTATTTCTGCTAGAGACTTAAGATCGATATGGAGCTCAATCTAGTACAATCGGTACAATTTCATAGAACAGTAACTACGAGTAAATGGTCGACAGATTTTTTCGATTGGTCCGTTTCAAAAAGGTAAAAGTATTACAGAAGCACCACTCTGTAGCTATCGAATAGAGATTAAGGTAGACGGAATTCTGTAACGGTGCCGTAGCTGCGTAGTACTCAAATAAAAAGTGTGGCCATTGCTACCAAATACCGTAGCAGCTACGATATGTACCGTAGTTACGTTTCGTAGCATCTTTTGTAACAGGTGTTATTTACATTTAGCTTTGCTTTGGATGCAATTTTTACAGAAATAGGTGTGTGTGACATAATGGTCATAAGTCTGTTATCGNGTGAATATTAACGTTAGTAAATTATTTAGACATGAAAATTAAATAGGTACATTACACAGCATTGGTTGGACATTTTCACTCAAGATTTCTGTGGGTATTTTAATAGGTCAGCTGTAGGGCATCCTTTATCTAAATTGGGATCGTTATCCAAGTAGAAACCAACGGGGATTTTAGAATATATCAACCAAAATAGATTTCACTGAATTTGATCAAACTTGGTGATTTTCCGTTAGACTCCGGGCCTTCGTTGTATATTTGTAAAGGACTAAGAAGATGTAAGACCGAGATTACAGTGAAATTGCCGACTATCAAAACAATTTCAGTACCTAGTTCTCTTTAAAAGATACAGTACCTTTAAGTAGGTTAAGTAACTCTCTAGCGTTGATAGAAAACATTTCCATTTAATATTCAAATTGTAAGCTATATTACTATATTTATATCATAATATGAAGAAATAAACTTAAACATATCTCTCTAAGTACCTACATCAATGGCAAAAGAGCAACTTGTATTTATTTGTTAAAAGGATACGCTTTGCACACAAATTAAAAATAAGGGCTGCTAAAGGAACCACAAAACCGTCATACGGTCAAGCTAAACAAAACGAACGAGATCTTATTATATGTAGTTGTAAAAAATGCAATTTTGCCACAAATGTATCACAAGCGCTCAACGGTTGGAATGTGCAGGTGTCAAAATGTCCATACGGACCGGCTGTTAGTGTGGCAAAAAGTATGAACGTCAAAAAGTCCCAGTGTCAAAATGTACATTATCACCATGGTTACAATGGTTTAGTGACAAATGGTACACATCACAAAATACGAGTACAACAAAAGCTGTGATAGATAAAATGATCAACTGATTTATTGTGCTCATGATTAAATTAATAAAATTAAATGTCAAAATGTTCAATGTTCTTGTAGTCTAGTCAATAGAGTTTTTTTGGGCATTTTTACCTTGATACATTTAAACACGTGTTCACATTAGCTATTATACAATAAGACGCTTGTTTGAATAAACCCGAAGACATTTTAACTTCAGATCATTTTAACCATTGCTCATTTCGACGTTTATACTTTTTGCCACACTAACAGCCGGTCCGTATGGACATTTTGACACCTGCACATTCCAACCGTTGAGCGTTTTTTCGCATTGACTACCCACTCCCAGAATGATCACAAGTACCTCCATTTCCCTGTTCGTCGTACACTTCCTCCTCGGCGACGCCGCACCAGCCCTCGGCCACCCAGTGCTCCACGCACTGCCGCACATCTTCCGACACCTATGTTTATTTACATTGTGTTAATAAATATTACAAACTTACAAATTAGTGAAACATACATTACTTACAACTAACTAATGTTTAGTTATAAGTATTGTAAATTCTGTCTTTTCAGTTTCAAATTACTTAGCAGTGAAAACTTCTAGGTTTAGGTACACCTCATTTTACATATGTTATATTTTGTATTAAACTGTAAGCTGTATGTTTTCCTAATAAAGAATATTGCGTAATGCAAAAATGTGTTTGCAAAAATGTCTTTTTAAATTAAAAAGGAAGAGTTTATATTGCCCCCACTTTTTAAGAGATCTTTATAATATGTAGATTTCAAACATTAATGACGAAATAATGGAGATGAGGTTCATTATTACGTGTTATGATTTAAAACCATTTATGTAACACATCCATTTAGGCACTACTAAAAAGAAAAAGAATAACAGAAACATTTGAAATACAAAATGACATAACTCGTGCACAAGGATTTTTAATAGCAGTTAAATGCTTGCCCTTGTTCTACTTTACTATTTCTTGAACGAATGAAACCTATTCAGAGACAATAAACATAGGGTTATAAATAAGTGCATGAACTTTCCGCAATTATTAATTTATACTGGGAATTGCCAGCTGGATTGGAATTCGCGCTTGAGAACACAACATGTGTGGAAATCAGCAAATTATATGGACGGACGAGACATTCAACATCAAATAAGCAAGAATTACATACCACATGTTGCGTAGACTGGAATAAACATTAAAAAATTTTTGATGTTTGATTTTTGACAAGTCCTTTGCTAAGTTACCAGAATCGCTCATGCTTTTGTTTTAACAAAATACTATTTCACAAAATTACGATATCATATATCAGCATAGTGTATATTTTAATCTTCTCATACTCTTTAAAGGGATTTTACTGGAAATATCCATTACGGAGAAATGTTGGGTATTGGCATAGTTCTCGGAAACATAAATTGAATTCAATGATGCAGCTTAATTTAATTTTCCACTGAAAATCTAGGTTGCGTTCATCTCTCTAATAATATTTAGCCAGTAAATGTTTTAAGCAGAACTGGATGCTAGAATTATTACCAGGAACTTAAATAGATATTTAATTTATGAATTAGGCCTCTTAGTTTTTTAAATGAGTGAGATCAAGTTTAATTCTACAAACAATATACCTACATTTAACCTAAAAATAAAACTTTCTCAGAACCACTATTAAAGCACTCAGCTCTAGTTCATGAAGTTCTGGGAAGTTACAATAAAAATAAGAGACATTCCTAGTACGAGATGACTCAACAGCTTTTGAAAAAAATTCGAAGTTTTGAGGCAAACTAAGTTAAGTTTGTGTAAATACTGACTTCGGAAAGTTTTCTAGATCATTAATATGTATAAGAATTGTTATCCAGGGTAAAGTATTGTCTTTCTTTTTTATTTATTCCGGGTTGTTTGTAGACTTTGATTTGAGAGAAATCTGAATGAAATCATACTTCAAACAAACATTAAATCAACTTACCATCTTATCAATTTGTGTGAAGACAACACTGAAGTATGGCACATTGTTAGTCCTGAAACAAATATATACGATATTATAACAAGAATGTATGGATTTGTAAAAAAATATCGGATACTGTTGTATACGAAACACATTTTGTTTCATCGTAAGTAAAAAACCCTTGCGATTTAAGCAAAATACAGCACATCAGACGTAAACGTTGACTAACACCTATATATCTATAAAAGCGAAAGATCACTGACTGACGTACTCATCACGAAATCAGGAGGTGTTCACTTACGTCTCGAAAAGCGGGTGGTAGTAAGTCAGGCCCTGCTGCAGATCGATTTGCACGAGGGTGATGAGATTCACGAGGTCCTCACCACGCTCCGACTCCGTGTCCTGGGCACATAAAGCCTCGTACCACTCCGCTGTACCCTTACGCAGGCTGCCCACTATCTCTGTCCTGTGATACAAGGTTCATTGTTAGGGCAATTTTGGAGTAAGTAGTTGACCGCCACTCATTTCATTTGACAACCGAAAAAATACAACTCTGAAAATATATAATTTTTTCGCTGCTAAAACGAATTATGCAAAACGTGTTACACGAAATCATAAAGCATAGGTAAATAAATAACAATAAATATTTGCGTAAATGTTTAAAATACCCTTATTACATGTCCATATGTGTTCAGTCACGAATGTTTGAATAACAATGCACGGTACAACAACGAGTTTACGGCTCTCATTCAATGCGTGATATTTACATAACGTTATTGCATATCTAAATATATAAAAGGAGAAACTGACTGACTGACTGACAGATCAACGCACAGCCTAAACGGCTAAACGTAGGCACTTGAAATTTGGAAGGGACGTAGCTTAGGTACCGTAGAGGTGCACTAAGAAAGGAATTCCCGAAATTCCCACGGGAACGGGAATTAGCGGGAAAAACGGGATTCACGCGTACGAAGTCGCGGGCGGCCGCTAGTCATTTTCATATAAACTCTCTGAAATACACCGCCTTCCGAATAAATCATTGATGGTTCATACACAACGTAGCTTTATAAGGTAAACGTATCTAAACACTGTTTTAATATTTGGTTCTTTAATAATAATAATAATAAAGCATTTATTTCTTTCTTTCACAATCCAATAATACAGCGAAACACAAATTGCTATGTACTAATTGAACAGGGTAAGATTGTGAGAGAACTGGAGTCTGAACTAGGCGAGAAGCCTGTACTACAGAGCGCTAGTACTCTCCTCTCTCGATAATGGCCGTAGCACATAGAATTTATAAAAGTTATTTAAAAAACTAGACAAAAAACTAGACGAATATTGAAAGAGAGTGTGTATAAGGTGAAGTGTAAGTGATGTGAGAGTGAGTGTAATGAGAGTGTAGGTGTATGTAAGTGTGAGTGTATGTGAGTGTAGGTGTATGTGAGTGAGTGTGCGTGTGTGTTAGTAATGAACCATCTGCCCATATTACAGTTACCTAATTGGTTGAAGCAGGTTTTCCGTTTCAGCATACGTCAAGGATTGCAAGTAATTTGAGACCTTGTACTTACAATAAAATTTTTAAGGAAGGTACCTACTTAAGTAGGTACCCAATCTAACTAAAGAGCTAATTGAATACTCTGAGCTTCTTGTAATATCTTAAGAACCATATCAATTACCGACTCAAATTTCCAGAACTGACGAGGATAATTTTTCTAAGTACTTCAATTACTTGACTAAGAATCCTTTTAAATGTAATCGTTTAATTTCAGATTAGGAGAGTGCTCCAAAGAAACTTTCCACTTAAATACTCGCCTGATTTCCTTGTTGAAGGGACAACATCTCCAGAACGCTTTCATTTGTGACAGCTGACTTAAACATCGCAGCAGGAATTCCAGCCTGTAGGGAAAGTTTTACGTAAGTAAGAAATAATAAGAGCTACAGAAGTTGCAAGTATAAATTTATTATTCAATCAACCAATTTGTTGCTGTCGCTTGTTTGAGCCAACGTGTAATACCGTTGTAATTGTTTGTTTTCAGGAATAATACTTATCGCTCGTGAAATTTTTGATGTTAATTTACATTATAAAAGAATAGGTATCAGACCAAGCTCTTAGCTGAAAACAGTGGAATAAGATTTCACTTTTTTGTGAGTTTAGGTACCTACCTACATATCATTATTTCCGAAACATGCCTACCAATCTATCTAAGCACCCACCTAACGTAATTGATCAAAAATTATTTATATTGTTACTTAGTGGCTTATAATTTTTCTTAAGTGAGGACTCCAGCCAAACAACCGTCGTTAATATTATAATGAAGTCGCCAATTAATGTCGCTTGGGAGCTGATCCCACTGAGGCATTGTGGTTTGCCTGCTCCTAATCAATTATTCCGCCCTCGAGGCCCGCAAACCTGTCCCGTTCCGAACTGCTTCAGAAAATTACTCTTTTTGAAGCTGAGGTTAAGAATTTATTACACCAGTAAAGATAAAATTAGTATCGGCTTTTTTCTGAAGGGTTATATTAAATTCGTTATTAAACACCTGTTCATGCTAAACATTCACCTTGTGCTTTGAGAATATTGAGCTTTCGCTAAATTCAATTTTGTGTTATGAAGACTTGAATCAACTATGATTATATGCGAGCTGGATTGTACTTCGCTTACATTATTCCATTTAAACCTCAAATTAAAAGTGGTGGTCGCTGGCTAACAAAATCTTAATGTAAGGTGCCTTAGCTACGTAGGTAAGTCTAATAAATGTATAATTTTTATCTTGTAGATTAGCGCCATGATCGTAGAGTTAGTTTGTACTTTAATTTTGCCCATAATTAATGACGTAGGTAACATGTGTAGGTAACTGTCTGTAGACAAAACGAATCGGTTTAGTTCGGGTTTCACCCGAATTTACCAAGTTATCCTATTAATCTATAAATACAACGAATATTAACAAGGACTTGTTACATAGTAATGAGACTACTAGGAATTTGGGTCCTACATGAGATACAGTTCAAACACAGGATACCTACCCACTCTTTTCAGAAACAACAATCGGTAAGTATAAGGTATATAACGGTAGATAGATTAGTGTTTCTCTTGAAAAGTCAAATCGAACGATTTCTGTTTATTTGATCACTCTCGTTAGGTACTCTAGTAACTCTAACCCAGAAACGTGTTTCCTTAGATAGCATAGGGATAAAGAACTTTATAGAAATATCACAACTATATTTTGTCCTCTCTAGCAAGACGCAGTCACTTCACTTTAAAAAGTTCTTAGCTTTCTGCCAACTGTTTTTAAAATATCAACTTAAACTTGTGCAATACGTGCATTCGAGTCGACCTGACCTCTAAGTACTCGTACCTAATAAAAGTCACAATGTTAGATATTAGGTACAAGTTGATATGAGTAGCACTTCTTATCTCAGAAGTCTCTACTAAATGACGAAATTCACCTGAATCGTTGCGTGATCGCGCCTACAGTTCGCGGTGCAGAAGCAGTTGGGCAGCGCACGCTCTACGAACACGCCGAAGCAGTCGGCGAGCCAGCGCTCCTCGTCGAGCGTCACGCCACCTGAGACACCGCTGCTACGTCATTACACCTGCTAACACTCACTTGTTGAGGCTGTAGTGGTGCAGCACGGGGTACAGGTCCCGGTGCAAACGCAGCTGGTGCAGCGCACGCTCCACGAACTCGCCGAAGCAGTCGGCGAGCCAGCGCTCCTCATCACGCGTTACGCCGCCCGAGTCTCCGCTGCCGCTGCCACTGCTGCTGCTTGAGCATTCGCTCGCGCACCAAGCACGCTCCAGCTCGGTAAGCAGCTTGTACATGTATCTAAATAATAACAATTTACAGGTCTCAGAGTAGTATTTCGGTGAGAAACCAAACCAAAGGCAAAAGGTTATTAGTGTATTTAAAGTAATCTGAAAAGTTATACTCAGATCAGAGTCAAGTACTAAATATGGTAGGATAATGTCAATGCCAATATTTTTGCCAACCACATTTGTTTTCATTAGAGGCGTATAATTTGGACCACTAGGAGATATAATATTGGAGGTACTCAGTTAGAGCACACTGTACATTTACAGTATTTACAAAATAAAATTACAAGAGAAAGTAAATACTCTAAAAAGTACTTGGGATCCAGCGGAGCATCACTGTTCAAGCGGCAGGCAGCAGCGAATCGGGCGATGGCGGCCTGCAGCGCACTCATATCCCCCTGTATGGCGTGCTGGTGCAGCAGCGTCTGCGCCGCGCCGCCGAGCTCGCCCTCCCATGCGCCTGCGTCGCTCTCCGCGCCGCTCGCCGCGCCGCACGCCGCTGTCTCCACCTCGTGAGCGAGCAGCACCCCGAATAGGCGCTCGTGTTGGCGAACCTACATCATTTATTTATGTACAGATCACAGCACTTCAGCGTAAACAAGGTGTAGTCTACCATAATAGTTTAAAAATCGATTAAGTAACTATAGTTTGGAAAGAGCAAACAAAGTAATAAATAGGTAAATAGAATAAGATTATGCTAATAACTTCTGAAATTTTCCTATTTTATAGACAATCTTATAGACACTTTAATGGAATTGTTTTTATTAGTAACTGAACACCAATTTTGTGCTAAACTTTTATCAAATGGAAAATGTTAAGTGAGTTTGTTAGAAGAATCAATATTGTTCTGCAATAAAAGGAGTTTGATCGTGATAATTAATGTCTGATCATGCTCCCGGAAAGATGCTACCCTTAATTTGAGAGAGCAGGGTATAATGCAAACCTTAGAATTGGGATGCGAAAACTTGTGGAGCGAAAAAAGCCAGTCCCATTGAGTCACAGTGGAGTGAAAGAGGTGCCTCCGAATGAATTGGATTTATCGCGTAATCGCAATTTCGCTTCACTCGCTCGCTCAGTTGATTACGTGGGACTAAAACACTTTCACCCAATGAATACGTTATCGAGATGCTGGCAATTTTTCGCCACTAAAATTTGGTATTCAACATCATAAATTGATGGCTTAAAGTAATCATACCAATATAATAAACACAAATACTTACCTTGAAAGGAAACTACTCTAGAAAATGTAGGTACGAATATAGTTTCGAAATGTACTTAGTAGCTGAAAATAAATGAATATTTGAGATGTTTCACTTCATACCGAAAATATATTACAAAAAACGCTGCAACTGGATAGGTTTCGGGTCCTGATCTTAAAACGGACTGTCACTGTGGCGTGTTTGTACAAGCCTTTCAACTCTTTAATGTATCAATAGTCAATTTGGCACAATTGAAGAGACTGAAGCACTGCCCATGTTTCAAATGAATCGAAGGCTTTCTCATAGTTCACAAACGCAAAGTGGCTGATTATACTACTTGATCTTCCGTATAATCTGCCGTTGCGTATATTATTATGGTATATGGTAGTTACTAAAGCCTTTTCGGCAGTAGCGGCGTAAGGGGGGGGCGGTGGGGGCGGTCCGCCCCGGGTGCCAAGCATCAGGGGGTGACACAAGTCGCGCAGATTAGTACTCACTGGCACATCTGCATGGTAAATCTGCGGTCTATGTCATGATACGGTACGGGGGGGGGATGGTCTTTCAATCTTCGAATCGGTAGGTAACCCCAAAATCCTGGGGGGTACCTGGGGGTGCCTTAGGACTTGTGACGCGGGGGGGAGGGGTGTGATCGCCCCGGGTGCCAACCCATGCTACGCCGCCACTGTTTTCGGAAACTGGCTTGTTCGGGGGGCTGAAAGTTGTCGAGCCTGCTAGCGTGACAATTCGTAATGACTATCGAAAACAGCTTGTAGACATGGCTCAGAAGCGAAATGGGTCTATAATTCTTCAACAAGGTTTTGTCACCTTTTTTGAAGAGGAGTATTACCATTCTTCTAAGTGTCGGATCAATCTAGCTAGCACTTATTTTCTATAAAAATGTGTCAAATGATCCGTCAGACAGGCTATCCACAACTTATCCAGAAGTGGCGAAACAGGCCCTTACTAAGCGATTGTGAAATATGACCTTAATGTCAAATAAGAATAGTTTAAAAAACTAATAACACGCTTTTAATTACTAACAGCACTAAAAAGCCAAAAATCATCAGGACCCTGGACATCATCTAGCATTAAAGTGCTCGAAAAGACAAATCCAACGAACCCAAACTCGATGAGTTTCGTTTAGGAGTTCCTATGGCTACCTCCTGACTCCATCATTAGGACCCTGAACATTATCTAGCACTTAAAGATCTCGAAAAGATATCCAATGAACCCAAACTCATTTCAATTTGATACCTTTATTCGTTCGTGAGAAATAAGGTAGTAAGTTTCATTTTATTAAAATATTTTTATTATATTATATAACTAAAAAAATGTAATTTTCGCAATTTTTCCTATATTTGCATTATATGACAATGCTTTATGCCAAATTTCAAGATTCTGAGTTTACGGGAAGTATCCTGTAGGTTTTGATTCCTTTGCGAGTGTCGAAAATTTGTTGAAAATATCGACATAATCGGCTGTATCTTTTGATTGGCTTGGCTTAGAAGTTTGATATTTTCACAGCTTAAAGGGACTATTGTCCCTTTAAGCTGTGAAAATATCAAACTTCTAAGCCTGAGAAGACCTGAGTATTTCATGTGAATTTCAGCTTGATACGTTCACGCGTTCTTGAGATAAAGGGTCTTGACAGACGGACGGACGGACAACAAAGTGATCCTATAAGGGTTCCGTTTTTTCCTTTTGAGGTACGGAACCCTAAAAACAGAAATAAAAGGCGAAAACTTCGTAAGCAATAAATAAAACATGTTTTTGGAACAGGAAAATAGGAGACCTGAATTCAGAATAGACATTGATCTACATTCACTGGAAGATCCGATTATTCAAAAAGGAGCAGCTTTTTTGTTAGGGACACAATCGTTTGATCGGGTGGTTCGGGGAATCGCCTGCTAATAATAGACTGATAAGATCGTTAGTATGATATTGGATAAACAAGGCATTGTGGGCGAAAATAACAATATGTGCGATGGAGCGTGCGCGACGAGAGCCGCCCAGCCGCCCGCCCAGGCGGCAGCCGCCCGCTGCACACAAAGGGCCGCGTAACTATAGCGACTAATGGCTCGCTGCAAAAAGCCAATAAAATGTTTTATGTACGGTGCATTGGCTCAGCAGATTAGCAATATTGAACTGATACGCTATAATCCACGCTATGTCAACGCCGCGCTTTATTATAAAGTTATGGTTCCGCTCGTAACAGAAAACGTTACTCGATCGGGAAAAACATTTTATGTTATTAATATCCGAGGCACTTGAGCGTAAAATTAGACTAATGGAGCAGGAGGAAAATCACGCAGCTACGAATATACTACTCCTTTCGATTGGAAAAGTACTTTGGTTTCCGATTACTTATCCGTTTGACCCCCGCCGACATAATATTTTTTCCTTGTTCCACCACTTTAGTAGAAGTAAATGACTCCTACCAAAAACACTTTGTTATGTGTCGGTCTAGTTCAAGCGCAAACGTTAACGAACCAAATTGGTTTGCATGATGTGGTTAGTGGTAATTGTAAAAGTTATGACTGGCAAAACACGCGCTCCGACGAGAACGAGAACTGAAAAACAAACAATTTGAGTTTGTATAGCTGTCAAATTGGTTATCGGATACATGTTTTATGACATGAATTAGTCAATTTTCAATTAAATATGGCTTAATGAACACAATATTTTTAATTTTTAATAATAGCTTTTTTAATAATAGGTATTCAAAATATGCCGTAAATATCCTCTAAGTTAGTATTAATAATAATTCGAGTTAGTAGAAGTGTACTTATTATGTAAAACGCATAAATTGTTAAACTACTCGTACCTATCTTGTTCCAAGTTTTAAATCAATTAGGAGAAAGGTACTTGAAGGTGATAGTGATATCACTACTATTAGTTAATATACATATACGAGTATAATAGGTATTTGCTATTTTTGGTACCGAAGATAAATAAATTCATACATTCATAATAAAGTGACATAGCAACCGTATACGTTGAATGAATAATAAATTAACTGATACTAGCTGGGCAGCTATTTTATGAGTTAACTTTCTACTGGTCAAATATAACAACTTTCTGTATGAGCGTGACTGCGAAACTGAGATTAAACTAATATGATATGTTTAGTAAAATGTATGTAAGCATGTTTTATTTTGATATTTGTTACGTTATGTTATTAAATAAGATAAAATAGTTTGCTTCACACGCCGTTAGACAGACTGCCAGTCGCATATTAATACGAATGCGTCCAGTGCGCCTGTCAAGTCTGTGTAGGACTTGTTATACCAACAGCCAGAGGATCTTATAATAATACATATACTTAAGTTTCTTGTTCGCAGTTGATCGTTATCAGTATGGCTGGCCATGTGTAAGAGGCCTTAAGGCTCGGCCAAATCAACGCATCAGCCTGAAATAATGGGACTTGCTTTATATCAAAATTCAAGTTTGTGATACATCTTGATTTGCTGGGCAGATTTCCTACAATAATATTGCATCAAACTATAACTGCACGGTGACCGCCTCAGAACTGTGCCACCAGATCTTAGGTAGGATATTTGGATCTATTTCTAAGCGCGTACTTCGTTCGTTTCAGCCAAATGACGTCCACATCCGTACAAAGGCGTCCTCCAAGGATTTCCACAACGACCGGACCCGCATCGAGGCACCTTCCGCGACCTTCACCAGAACGTCGGTCCACCTAGTGGGGGGCCTGCCCACACTACATTTTCCGGCCCGTGATCACCACTCGAGAACATTTCTGCCCCATCGGCCATCAGCTCTGCGAGCTATGTGCCCCGCCCACTGAATTCTGCGGGCTATGTCGGTCACTTTGGTTCTCCTGCGGTACGTACTTACCTGTTGCCAGTTGTCATCATCATGCCGGCCGGCTTCGCGGGCCGACAGCCACAGGCGCAGGCGAATGCGGCCTTGCACCGAAGAGCGCTGCGAGCGCGCTTCCAGCTTGTACCACGCCTCGACCCCGGTGGACGGGATTTCGCGGAGAGGGATGTTGACACAACCTGCACGACAAAATAGCCTTTAAAGTTTAAGAATCAACGCTGTCTCGTCAGTAATTGCAATTCATTTTCAGTTTTCAGTGACAACATTAAATGGTATATGAAAAACTTGTCCTCAACATGCGTAACTATACAGTTATCATGCGTTCTTATGATGTACAATCGTAATATTAAAAAAAAGATGAATGCCTGTCTCCATAATTTGAAATTGTTTTGAAATTTACACGAATTAATAATGTTCAGCTTCGTCAAGACAGTAGAGAGTAGGTAACTTCTGTGAATACAAAGTTAACGATATTCTAAAAATTTGCATTTAATGTGCATATTTGCATACAAAGATAAAAATCAACACAGAACACGGTCGAATTAGAAACAAATGATTTAAACAATGCACGTGCTCGAAACCAGTGATTTGAATTTGAGCATCCAATTAAAAGTTTTCAGACTCATAAAAATACAAATGAAGCAACAATATTAATTATTATTCTGGAAAGCTTTTGAACAATTGAAATATATTTTCGTTCAATGAAATAATATAGAATAATGTAGGTACAGTTAAAATTACTCTTTGTGCATAGTTGATGTGCTTGTGCAACAAAGTGAAATATAATAAAGCTGATTTCGCTTACAATCGACCCGAAACTCCTTCTAGCATTTCGCTACTTTTCATTTCGGATTTGATCAACCGCTTGAAAATTTCAACCTGTATAAAATTTTAGTTTAATTTAAAGTTTCCCGGTCAGTTGGCAGGTTGAAAGTCCGCTTGGGAAGTGCGAATACAAAATGAGAAGCACACGCTGGATATTGGATCCACAGTTTACATTTTCATGCGCCTGCAATCACGTTCCGCCCGCCCGAGTGTGCCGAGTGTTCGCGTGCTATCGCCGTCGCGTGTAACAATGCGCGTACACTCCGGTGCGTGAGTACCTTTACTCAAATCATTTTCACCCGAGATGAAATCAAATACTTGCCTACGCTGCCGGTAAATAAATATTGAATTTACGCGTTCGTCTATCAATCTTGTTACATCCAATTTTTTGACGGAGTCGCGTGTCACCCCAGTGCCGTGAAGAGATTTCAAAATGTCAACACCGTAAAAGAGGCTTTTGGGACTTAGATGGATTAGTTCCACGAAAGGGACTCGAGAGGTCACTTGGGATGGATCGCCCTTGGAATAGCGATAGTGACTTTATTACATGTTTGAGAGTGTTACGTCGTAGAAATAAGAAGCCATGTAAAATCAGTTGTTGTTTTTTCCTAATAACTGTTTTTGTTTTTGTTTTGTGGCCAGGCACTGCAATTACTACGAAATATTAGGCACTTTGGGTATGTCATAATAGTATATTTGAATGGATACAAGGTATACTGAGGGTTCAAATCATTTTTATGAGTATGACTATAGAATATTAAACACGGTTAGGTCCCAAAGTGACACTCAGTTTTCCTTTGGGAGAGGTCGGATTTTACACATTATTTTATGGTCGGATGTCCGTCCGCCTTGTAAAGCACGATCCGACGTAAAAACCCTAACCCGACGTTTAGTGCTCTTCTATAAAATTTATTTTGTAACAAGTGAAATATTCACCGCATATTTGATGCAATAAGGGTTTTATAAAATATAGCGTAAAATCTTGCTGCTGTTATGAAATGAAGTCATACATCGTGGCGAGCGCTTGAAAGCGTCCATTTTCCGCTGTGTGTGCTTTACGATCACGACGTGACGGCTCCGTGCATACATACATTATGCCATGGAAGCGGCCAGGCCACGCCAAACTGCGGTACTAGTACTAGTGAACGAATTCGCTGAATCATAATATCGCTTCATCTTTAAAAATTGAATTTTAAATTGTGTTGTGTGTGTAAAGCTGAGAAAACTGGACTGAGATATTTTAACGATTTAAAAAATAAATATCACCCGTCCAGACTTAATATGCTAGCTGCAAAGCTAAACCGGTNAAAACGGTTAAAGATAAAGAAAATCGGCCCAACTTCTCAATTATTGCATTTTTTTATTTTTAGCACTATTGCCAGGAGAACCTAATTACTGCCTAAGTTTCTATTTTCTCTAGCTAGACAAAAACGTAAATATATAATTTAAGACGAATGAATTGCGATGTCTACAAGATAAGGATTTCATAATAAATTAAAGTCTGAAATGAATTGCCCTCGAAATTTGGTAAGATCAATATTACGTCATAGACTCAGATCATACATAGCAATATAAGGGAGAGTCCGCTAATTTGGACCAGTTTTTTTCAATCCCATTTTACACATAGTTTTCTTTTGTTTTTGCTAATGTCCATGGTATATAATGAAAGATACATTATTCAACTTACTATTTCATAAGTATTAATTAAAATGTTTGTTGTATATTTAGCACAAATCAACAAAGTACGAGTTCAGAGCTTTGGTCCAATTTAGCCAACCGGTTCGATAATTTGTACCACAGGGTGACTAAATTGGATTTCAATAAATTTCAAGCCTATAAAAAAACTATGGCAAAATATTATACGATACATTCTTAACAAATTAGGAAACGAAAAGGAACAGTAGTTAATAACATAGAATCTCGATATTGTTTTTCACGTTATCACGATTTTGAGTACAAGTTTTGTAATTCCAATTATAGTAACGCACACTTCTACCTAATCTACTTTGCCAGTCTTTTGCGTTCATTTATTGTTAGTCAAACATAACTACGCTATTATAACTTAAAAATATGATTTACTAAAAAAAAAATTCAAAATCCTTTGGTAAAGTTCCATACAACTTGATGAGGTACAATTTAGCCGACTAGGTGATAGTGCTTTAAAAAAATCGGTAAAAAATATAGCTTATAAATACCGAAAAATGTTTCAAATAATTGTAATCCACACTAATTTACGCCTCTAAATAATATATTAGAATCACCCTGTGATTAAATTTAACAAAATTACAAACAAAACATGTATTGTCAAAAGTTACTTGAAAACAATGAAAAAATACTTTTCAAAATAAAACACACGTGTTTGTTGTCACGGCAAAAACTACATGGCCGATATTAATTGATTTTAGTTGTGTATCGCTGAGTGTTGCAATTACAGACATTCAATAAATACTTTACGAAATATGAGGGTGGTACAATTTATCCGGCGGTACAATATACCGAACTCTCCCCTACATACTGTATTAATTAAATTAGCATGATTTACAGTTATTACGTCGTGTTATTTTACAATAACTTTATTATTGTAATTGCGTTATACCAATTTGACAAATGATACAAGCGAGCTAATTAATACTTCAATCGTCTACTTCAATCATCGGAAACCGATCGCAGATGCTTTCTATATAAACGATATGCAACAAATGTCAATGCGGTTTACTCGTACTTGCTATAACAGCTAATTTATCTGTCTAATTAGGTCAAACAACATTAATTTGGGATTTCAGCGGATTGAACTGTAATATGAGCGATAGTTAGTCTGGTTGGATCATATTGATTGAATAGTAGTGAGTTAAATTGTATCGTAATTATTATAATGTATCTATCAAGGCCAGTGTTAAAAGCTGCAATAAATACATACATACATATTTGTATGTATAAAATACCACTCTATGGATGCGCCACTACGAAAAACCCAAAGGTGGAAGTATCGTGCTTTCAACAAAATCCAAATTTTAAGCTACATAAAGTGAAATGAAGTAAGTTAAAAAAGTTCGTACTATCCGACAACACTATAACATTATTTTAAAATAATTTACATCTAGGTACCTACTTAGTATTAATGAGTAAACTCATATCTCGTCGCAAAAAGCTCTGAATGGCCGGTGTGGCTCACAATTCACAAACTATAGGCAATTCAGGTTAGCATTCCAATGCTCACATTAGTAGGTCGAGGGTATCGCATTATAGTTCAGGTGGCCGGCGTCGCGTGCCGACCCCTATCGCACCCTGGGGAACACTCGCCAGCTCCTCTAGGCAACAACGCAAACTACGCGGAACATATGTTGTGTGTCCGCCAGTGAATTCTTTTTGTGTGGCAGTTTTTTAGACTGGTAAATGTTGTTTGATAGGACTGATGGTAAATAAGCTAATGAATTTGTATCTTAGATTATCTGTTGGCAATGACTCAGTAGGTACTCAGCAAGCGGATATAGGTACTCGTAAACGACGATATTCAAAATACCTAAGTAAATCGCTGTAGATATAAAATGTATAGGTAGCTTGCGCTGGACGCACTATACATTTAAACACAACGTAATTTATCTTTGTCATTGATACCAAGCCACTCCAGGGCCACTAACTAAGCTATAGAGCTATAGAGTAAACATTGTTAAATGTAAACAAACGGAACTATTTGAAAACCGCGCCCACTAAAATACACACACAAAATAGTTCTAACCTGTTACATTATGTAGATTAATTATGCATTAACTCTGTTAAAATTCGTGTTTGAACCATATACAAATAGTGAACAAATGCTACGCTACGCGGTTGCGAATCAATTAACGAGAAATCATTAAATTCGCAGTTCAACGAGTCCGTATGGTTTTGCCTGCTTCCGACTTTTCACGTTGGATTTCCACGGCAAATGAAATGTTTTCTCTTTATCGTAATTGATTTTGCCCGCTCTGTTCAGGATATACTCGTATATTACTTATGTGCTATAAAAATTAAATGTTCATTTTTAACGCTGATTTTCGATTAATATTGNACTGGGAATCGACAACTTAATTAATATTGGAATAATGAGTTTGTAACTCGCGTGTACATTGAAGTTATCTTCCAGTATAGCTTTGGAAAACAGAGGTTTCGTTATTACAAAAAGCTTTTGGTGTATATTCTGTCTCAAACTACCGTCATAATACAGTTTAGTGCACAAGATGGGTGTCTAACTACACAAAAATATACTAATTCGATGAAATTTACGTTAAGCTCCATTTTATAATCATATTAGGAGAAAAATATTCTACGCACCAGATGGCCTCATAAAGGCTGTAGGAAGACATTGGATGTGGCCCGCTTTCAACTTACCAATATAGTAAACATTGGGGAAGGCCTACGTTCAGTAATGGACGTCCTGGCTGAAATCATTATGATTAACAAACTTACCAAGGAAGTCATCCTGGCTGCCCTGGCGGGCGCTCTGGCAGACCTGCTTGAAGAACCGTCCCAGACCGCGGACGCCGCGCACCTCGTTCAAGCGGGACACCGCGTCCAGCACCGAGCTCTCGTCGTCATGGTCCCAGATGTCCAGGTGAAGCACGTCCGACGATATATCGTCGATGTCACTACCACAATAGTATTCAGTAGATATAAGTACACGTGTAATTATTTAAGGCTGGGTTGCATACACCATCTTACTTTAACTTTGACAAACGTCAAAAAACTGCCAAACTCCGTAAAAAAGCACCGGTTATAGTTATAGTTACGATCAAAGTTAGGAGGTGCAACTCAGCCTAAGTTAGAAATGGGTAACATTGTGTTGCGTAATTGAGAGTTCATTGCGTTGTTAACTTCAATGTGTGACCGGGAAAAATTGAAGGGAAGGTGTTATTACCTAGTAGGTAAGATGTTGAGTTTCCCACAGAATGCAGTGAAGTGTAACAGATATTTGTATGGTATCGCACGAATCATAATTACTTACTCCATGAATTGTAAAGTTATTTGCCTTTCAAAATTTTATTTTACTGGCCGCGGACTAACTAAATGAAAAGTAAATCAGAAAATAAGTCCAAGAGACACAATTACATAATCATAGCTAAGTTAACTCAATAAGTTACTGAGTACACGCAAGGAATTTTCCTAAGTTATCCATGACTAACACAAGGCGACTAGAAGCACTACTAAAGCGCCCACAAGTGGTTAGTTTCGCTGCTGTGGCTGTTACGCCAGACTCGAATGTTGAGTTCAAAACAAACTTCACAAAATATAAATAAAACAGTCCACTTCTTGTAGCTTAGTGCGCGGCAGCACTAATAACCAATAACCATAAACCGTGCCGTTGTGGTGAAAGGATTAAATTCGCACAATAGAATTAAATACCGGCCCTGAATTATATCGTGCAATGAAACCTGTCGTGTTTATGTCCGTTCTACCACATTTTATCAGATTTCACTGTCTATTATCCAGAAGCTTTATAATTACCAACCAGGCATAATGAAAGAGATGATTAAAATGCCAGGGTTTCGATACGCTTTTTGCTTTCATGTTTTCTTTTCAAGAAGCGAACTGAACCTTTAAATATTTCAGTTAAATTTGTAAAACGTGCAGTCATCTAGAAGGATTATAACACCAACAGTTATAGCATGAATTGCTGTCTTTAAAAACTACCTGTTGGGAACCGATTGGTGAATCAACCTATTTTTTATATTGTCTATGTTTTTTATACTTTTTTTATTGCTTTTGATACCTTTTGTTTACTTTGAAGTTGATGTTTTTGATAGCCGTTGTGGGCATATTTTGCAGGAATATATCTTCATTTTAACCAAAGGTTTTTCTTATTTCCGCACGCCCGAGCGGCTGTCCTTAACACTACCTGTAATATAATCTCGAAAAACTGAATATTTCTTTCGTTATCTCCGTTATAAATCGTTCACAAAGATTTTAATCTTGACTCTACCTTTTTCTGTCGTTGATAAACAACCTCACTGAGTTTAAATTTCCCCTGAGATCCAGAGGACAGATTCCGAGGATATCGTCTTTTTTTATATCTTGGTTTCCTACTTGGACGTTAACTATGAAAATTCGTTATCCCGCACTATCAATCTTTATTAAGGTAAAAAGATATTTATTACACTTTCGCGGAAAAAACTCTCGGAAAACATTTTAAATTAAAGTAGGTATATCTACAGTCATAAAGCTTAAAGTTAATAATAACAAATACATTTTGATAAAATGTTATTTACGCTAACAAAGTCACGACGTGCCCGTAGCCATTTAATAAGACGAAGTCTATAAAAGAGAATTAACTTGTTGGCACGAAAATAAATATTTACTTGATGGTCGCCTTATAAAGATAAATGTATATTACATTTCACTTCAATGGTTTTGTTTCTAATAACAAAAGTTAAAAATTTATTTATTCTTTAAAAAATCCAAAATTCAAATACAAAAAAATTCGTAACTGCAGTATTACATGTTAACTGACTAGTGTTGGACTGTACCTGAAAATACTATATACTACAAATACATAGTCGTATATCGGACCGACTGAAAACCGCCTGGGGCGGCTTTGGATAGCAGCGGTTCGACAAACAATATGCGAATGTTTTTGATGTAGAGTTCGGCAAACGTGATTTTGTTAGATAAAATTGCAACGCTATTGCTCGTAGTCGTACATACTATGCTACGAATAAACGCTACAAACGCTACGAAACCACTCGTAGCAATGTTTAGTAGTTCGTAGTAATGTAGCGTAGAAAAACTTCACCACTAGATAGGCTGTAAGTAAGTAATGTTAATCAAACATTTTTTTTTCAAGTGTTTGGAATTATATTTAGGTGAAAGATACACGCCTGCGGTGTTGCACAGTTTTTATTATGAACAGCATCTCTAAAAGAATCACTTAGAACTCCTTGGAAAATACTACCAATTTTCCGCTCGAGTAGCAGTTACACTACAAAGAAATCCTTGAGAAATACTTACAATTTGAAAGTCTCGTTCCACTTAGGCGAGAGTGTGTGGGGCCTGACGCTGGTCGCGCGGATGTAGCGCGCTGGGAGTCGTCCCAGGCTGTCCCGTTGCTGGCGCCCGTCCCGCCTCTTGAAGCTCAGCCTGAATCCGTGCTTGCGGCCTTCGTCCTCTGAGGCCCGTGGCGATGCTGGTAGGGAAGCTGGCTGGATACCCAACATGCAGTACGGGTCGCTAAAACCTGCGTGACAAAAACATAACTCAATTAATATAGACGTTTTTTTGTTCCTAACTTATCTATTCCACTGCAAATATTCTCTAACTCGTCGAGAACTACATGACTGTATAGTTCAGGGAAGGGTGTAGGTGTAGGGAAATTCGTTCGATCACCAGTTGGGCTAGTGTAAACGCTGCAGAGGTTTAATCAATCTAACTGTCCAAAAAGAAATATTTTTTTACTTTATTGGGCACGTTCAGCCGTGTCTGTTTGATTGAGCCATGTTAGAAACTTATAGTGGCCCAAAAGTCTGATATCAGTGTTGTTACTCGAACTTTTACGAAACGATACTCGCAATTGATGAAAACAAAATGTGGTGTTCTAAAATCGTGCAATTTAACAATTCAATTAGCAATTCAGATATTTGCACAAACACTAACTGCCTCTTTACAATAGTACCGAATCGTAGCTAAATATTTATAACTATGCAAGAATTTATTATTCATGGCAAAGTCACCATAAGCGTTATGAACTGTGATACGGTGCGTAAATCATGGCCGGCCGGTATTTAAATTCATATGGCAGCATTTATTGCGCACACTCCTAAGAATATCGTCAGTAAAACTCAGCGAGACGTGTTTAATTGAAAGCGTCCGACTTAGCAAACTGTGAACTGTCCGAATAAACTTTAACTATAATTCAAAATACCTAAAACTTGTCTATTTGGGTGCTTGTAAACAAGTACATACAGACCACCTCGCACTACTTCTCTCGAAATCTTATGAGGTTTAAATTAAATATACACATTTATTCGTTTTTGATAGTAATGTAACATTATAATATGAAACTGTTATTATAAGATACAATAACATGCTAAACAAAAGTTGAAGTGCAATACCAATTTCCTGCACACATAATTATGTATTCTTGTGTATATGTCACCGTAAAATTGTGAATTCCGTCAGATTATAATCTGACGTACTTAAATTACAATGTAATCTAACCTAACCCACTGTTAGTTTACAATCTAACGCGTTATATTATAAACTGGGAGAGTTCACAATTTCACGTTGACATATAGGTACATACGACACGCCGCCGCGTGGGCGAAAATCAAATGATTGAAAATCACGCAGAATNAAATATTCAACACCCCCTCTCAATTTCAACTTTCGAAATTGTCTTACAGAAATCCTTAAAAATAATTACTTGTTAATTACACAGAGTTATAAAGTTGTTACACTAGATTGTTACTAAGTATTTACTTATTTAAATTATTTAAGTACTATGTTCTTACATAAACATAATGTATGTATTTGAAAACTAACTATGAACTTTATCCATTATCCTTTTAAATAATGTATTTACTTACATTTTATACCAATACTTAAATATTTTATCTTACATATTTAGTCAGATCTTATGTTAAACTATTATTTTCTTAAGTCTGTATTATTTATTACATGATATTTAACTAATANCTAATCTAACCTAACCCACTGTTAGTTTACAATCTAACGCGTTATATTATAAACTGAGAGAGTTCACAATTTCACGTTGACATATAGGTACATACGACACGCCGCCGCGTGGGCGAAAATCAAATGATTGAAAATCACGCAGAATTCGTCCGTCATTTGCGCTTCCATCAAATGCAATCGGCTACTGGTCCGGTGACCGATCGCACGACCGATCAAGCGGCATGCTGTGTATCTGCAAATCGATTGCTTTCGGCGCTATCTAGGTAATGACGACATACATAATTACGGAATTTTCGAATAAGTTATATTGATAGCTTGGAAAATTGCAATGTTATCGATGATGCTATCGATTTGATAATATTGCGAGATTTTAGGCATAAAATTCTGCATCATTGGACTTGAATTCGGGTTTGATGTTAGTTATGTAAAATACATTACACCTACTCGTATAACAAATCAAAGCGGATAAACAGCATTTTCCTCGTCAGGTCATATAGTCTCCTCTACCCTAACGACCCTCTTTAATGTACCTGAGGTAAATGCAACTTCATTTACAATAAGATAAAAAAAATATAGACCCTGTTATCCATTGACTTAAAAGATAATGAACGTCCCGAAATCGAGTCAGCTGTTTGTTTGAAGCCGTGGGCTGTTCGCCCAGTCAAACATGGGGAGGAAATTCGCTAGATGGCTCGAGTTTAGTTTATTCGCTTTGCGTCCGCCGGGAGCGGGCGCCCCGTGCGTTTCTTCGTAATTCAATACGAAAGCGCGCGTGTCTTTCCCCAGCTATGCGCGGGAGACATTCTTTGTAACGCAATTTCATTCTACGTGTAATAAGTGACATGTTTAGGAGCCCGCGTCGTAAACACTGGTTAGCGACAGTTATTACGTCCACATCTTTTTTCTTGGAAGGTAAAGCTAATTAAATATTTCACAGCAGGGTTCAGTGAGTAGGTATTTTCCCTTCGTGAGATGCACTCGAAGCTGTGGTTACAGGGTCGAATCTCGTTGGTATTATGCATTCAGATATTTACGTATATCTTAAGCAGGTTACGTTATGAGTCCCGAAAAGTCCTGCTAAGATGGAGTGATTGAGTTAGTTTGTGATTATTGAATGACATTAAAACACTGTAAAGTTACATTAAAATCCGTCAAGTAGATTTGTGTGAAGGATTAATAAACGTTCATCCATTAGGTGTGTTCAGGCACNATTTATTATTTATTTATTATTAATGAACGTCCCGGAATCGAGTCAGCTGTTTGTTTGAAGCCGTGGGCTGTTCGCCCAGTCAAACATGGGGAGGAAATTCGCTAGATGGCCCGAGTTTAGTTTATTCGCTTTGCGTCCGCCGGGAGCGGGAGCCCCGTGCGTTTCTTCGTAATTCAATACGAAAGCGCGCGTGTCTTTCCCCAGCTATGCGCGGGAGACATTCTTTGTAACGCAATTTCATTCTACGTGTAATAAGTGACATATTTAGGAGCCCGCGTCGTAAACACTGGTTAGCGACAGTTATTACGTCCACATCTTTTTTCTTGGAAGGTAAAGCTAAATAAATATTTCACAGCAAGGTTCAGTGAGTAGGTATTTTCCCTTCGTGAGAGTCTGATGCACTCAAAGCTGTGGTTACAGGGTCGAATCTCGTTGGTATTATGCATTCAGATATTTACGTTTATCTTAAGTAGGAAGCAGGTAAATTATACGTTATGAGTCCCCAAAAGTCCTGCTAAGATGGAGTGATTGAGTTAGTTGGTGATTATTGAATGACATTAAAACACTGTAAAGTTACATTAAAATCCGTCAAGTAGATTTGTGTGAAGGATTAATAAACGTTCATCCATTAGGTGTTTTAAGTTAAAGACTTTCAAGGATCACTGCTGTGTTCAAGATGCTTCTGCAGCATTTTGTTTAAAAAGAAAAATCCAAAAAAGTAACAAGCATTTTTCCGCAATTTAGTAAATAACAGCAGTCAAAGTAAAAAGCCGTTCATTCCTAAAATTTAATCAACATTTTGACGGTGTTATTTCCTTAACCTTTCATAAAGCCTGTTGTTTTGGTATATCATATTGTATATTTTTTTACAATACTGTTACCGTCCCGCAAACGTTGACTTTTTTTCTTTTCAATATAGGAAATAAAATGATATTGCCACGATTACTTGGTTATTTTCCCGTCTTAGAACAGACGTCGCCATACAAACAAAACAATACATTTCAATTTTGTTTCTTTTGTTTATGCCTTGAAGCTGTTTTGAATTCGTATTTATGAAGACAGAGTGTTTATTGTGAGAGAACTTCAAGTAATGTTTTGGTTAGCGAACATTAATGGCGCAATATTACGCAGTATTTTTAAGTATAGAATAAACTCATTAAATCCCAACATATAAAGAACAAGTACCTACTTATTATAACGCATGAATAACAGATAGGCAAGTATCATAACTCAGTATCATGACTCAGGTAAAAACTCAGTTGTATTTTTTTTTATTTGAGGCTTAATCAAACTTCATAATACTTAGTAGATTCTACAGCTTTCTACGTATAGCTTAATCAATATTTAATTTTAATAATACAATTTACATTCATTTTAATTTGATGTCATTGTAACCTCAAAAGAAAGAGTGCACCTAATTCTATGTAATTTGTTTAAATTATTTCAAGTAAGATTTTATGAAAGAATAGATCATCCATTCAGTCATCAGTTTGCGATCTTTATGTAGGACTTGCGCTCTTTATTATTAACTTACAATACGTGACCGAAATCAACAAATACGAACTGTTTTCACACTCTTTAAGAGCGATGAGTAAAAACTGAAAGTGACAACCTAAAAATGAGGCCCAATAAATTTTAGTAACGCGAATATTTCGTACGTACAATATACCAGTTCATAAAATATTTATTGGCATTATAAAAGCTTCAGTTTCCAAGTAGCAATAATATTATGTTACGTAAATTACGTAATGTTATACAGGATAATAATAGTGTAATAGGTATGGTCGTACATGTACATACATATGTTAAAATGCATTTCTCATTCCTGTAAAAAAAATATATTCATAAAAAAAACTTGGCGTTGAAACCTTAGTTTTTCTAGTTTTCAACGCCAGGCTGCTCGTTTAATTTATGACTATGAACGGCAAATACGAGTACGCCGCGGCAATTGAGAAATCTGACTGGTTCAAAAAAGTAGTTTAAAAAGGCATTTTCCAAAGTACATAATTATTATTTAGTCGAACCCATTAACAACTTGTCTACAACAGTAACACCATGATAATAAATTGATTTACACGTTGATATTGTTAAACCAATTAGGCAGCTCGTTATCTCTATATCAAGGATCTCTGCCCTACATAACCGATCAGCCGAACAAGTGTGACGATGCTTACTACTTGCAGGATATTCCTTACTATTTCCTATGATATTGTATAACATACTGTTGCACATGTTACATGAATAGATATAGGAGACGATTATTAGAATTTTCTCTAGTAAATTCTACAATATGGTAACATAAATGCAAGCAGCCATTTCATAATGTATGGCCGATAACAGCAAATCAATAAATAAGATAATGTAGAGCAGGTGTTAGCTAGTAAGTATTGTGCTCGATTGTATATTGATAGGAGCAGAACACCTATTTTGAGCACCCTACCCACATGGAAGCTCGTTTCTTCACTTAAGTATAGAACTATTTTTAGTAAGAGCTTTTAGAAACACAAAATTATTATTGTCGCAGAGAGCGAGTCTGCGTGTATGCCAGCTAAAAAGTGATTAACTTGACTATGCATAAAATGTAATGAACTTTTCAGAACTATAATAACTACAAATTGTAGCGTGTTTTTGTAAAGAATGTGTATACTTGCCGTTAGCGTCTTTGGCCTCCAGTCCATCTGCTTCCAGCACCGAGCAGCCCAGCACAACAGTAGGCGGGCGCTCGCTGCCGGCCGCGCGCATTGCACGCGCGTGCATCTCGGGAGACACGCGGAACGCGCGGCGGGCGTACTCGATCACCTCATCCTTGTATGAAGCGAACTGGCCGCCGGGTGCTGGAGCGCCCACTGCGTTTTCAATGCAGTATAGCACCTAGGAGTTAATAGAAAAAAAATTACATTTACATAATTGGAGCATTGGATGCCTACAATATTATTATCTAACTAGTATTTGCCGCAGCTTTAACCACTTTTAGATTTGGCGAACAGATTACATATCGCCTGGGATATTACCGGAATAAAAGTAGCCGTTATCACTCAGTAGCATCTTCAGAATCGAATCAAAGTAAAAAAGCGATCGTTCCAGAATTTTAAGCAAGTTATAATAACAAGATTTAGTTTCAAAAACCTCTTATCAGCTTAAGCAGATTATTATCCTTCGTATTTCTGTTATTTCTATTTTGATTTTTGAAGAACATTTTATTTGAGTGATAGGGTTGTCGTTTATGTTATATGACGTTCATGGCTGATTAAGTGGACAGTACAAGCACCCATCGATCCCCAAAATTTTAATGGTATCAATAATTTATGCTAGTCTCATAAAACGGCATTACCGTAGGCGTATTACCTGTAATTCTAAGACGAAAGAAGTACATTATTCAAGACCGGCTCAGCACAAAAAGGCTGACTGGGTGGAATATGTGCTTAGCGAAAGGGCGACTTTGCATGTTCCGAGATCGTTACGTAGACAAGATATTCAATTAGAGTGTCTCTTTTGATGTAGCATGGCAAAGAAATTCAACTAGGCCCTATCCCTTTGCTCCGATCATAAGGTCGCATTGGAAAAAGTCTATGTCAATCGTCCATTTGAAATTATTACTTAAGAATGGATGTAGTAGGCAAGGACTTACTTCTTTTATTGTCCTTATATAGGGTGTTTCTTGTAAGGTGTCAAGCCGAAGGCAGGTGATAGGTGAGGACTAGACCTATCGATTTCACCCCCATGTATGTTTTACGATTTTTCATAGTTTAGAAGTTATCGTTAATTTTGTGATTTTTTCAAATTGTATGACCTAGTAGGCTTTAATTTTTTTTTTTTTTTTTTAACTTTTAAGTTGAAAATTTTAGAATGTTCCGCTAATAGCATATTTTTTATGTTTCTAGCAAAAATTTTGTATTTTGCATCAAAGATAGGAAGTTGATTATTTTTTTCAAAAATCTTCAATTAATAGGGAATCTGTCAAAAAAAAGAAATCTGAGAAAAGTCGACCCAAAAAAAAGATAAAAAAATTTAAAGCCTACTGGGTCATACAATTTGAAAAAATCACAAAATTGACGATAACTTCTAAACTATGAAAAATCGTAGAACATACATGGGGGTGAAATCGATAGGTCTAGTCCTCACCTATCACCTGCCTTCGGCTTGACACCTTACAAGAAACACCCTGTATACAAAAACCTCTATTAGAAAATGTATGCATATACGCCTTTATAAAAGCACAATACCTAATCGACAAATCGGAACTGCCAATAAAGCTAATTGAATTGCCGCAAGGATTACAAATTGCTTCGATTTTAATATTTCATAAAATTGCTTCATTTGATTTTACTCGCGTATTATTTTGAAAAGCATTTTATATTGCAATATGAATTGTATTTTTTGCTGTGGGCGGGGATTCGAAACTGCCGAAGGCGTCTGGGTGTTTTGTTTGAAAGCGATATTTTCTTTGTACTCTAATCATATTGTGATGTTGTTTAACTCTATGTTTATAAAGCATTAATAATAACATTACATATACCTACATAGTATTTTATTACATATACATCGGTAAATTTATGTTTTCTTGAATAATACCTTTTTTTTATTGTTTGCTATATTTGACGTTCATAAGTGCCACTTGTGGTCTAAACTGAATAAATATTTTTGATTTTGATTTTTGATTTTGAAAAATGTTACGCTTAAATAGGTTCAAAATCTAAGGGGGCGTCCATTAATTACGTGAGACAATTTTGGCGATATTTCAACCCCCCCCGCCCCTCTTGGTGAGATTTGGTGAGGTTTTTCCAGACCCCTCGCCCTCCTCACAATCTCACGTGAGATTCTTAAAATACATAAAATATTTGCAACGTAAATGGGTTATCTATGCTTCGATTAGGATTTAATATAAAAAACCGTTTCTTCTAATTTCTTTGTTTAGACGGTTTAATATAAAAAATTGAAATGTATTATTATCATCTTAAAATATATGATTTTTTAAATTTAAAATAAGCCAGTTTTTCTTGCTGAAAAAATTACGTGATATTTGTCGAGACGATAGAACATACCAAACTGGCCCTTAGTTTACTTACTTCAGTATAAAGATGTTCATGTTCTTTGTGCGAGAGCTGAGCGGACATGCTGGGCAGCCCCAGGTCGTGAGGGGCGGGCGGCGGGCGCACCGCCCTAGCTTCGGCCAGCCTGAAGGCGCCCAAAGCCCGGTTTTCTCGACCTCATATACCAAACTGGCCCTTAGTTTACTTACTTCAGTATTAAGATGTTCATGTTCTTTGTGCGAGAGCTGAGCGGACACGCTGGGCAGCCACAGGTCGTGAGGGGCGGGTGGAGGGCGCACCGCCCTAGCTTCGGCCAGCCTGAAGGCGCCCAAAGCCCGGTTCTCTCGACCTCATATACCAAACTGGCCCTTAGTTTACTTACTTCAGTATAAAGATGTTCATGTTCTTTGTGCGAGAGCTGAGCGGACACGCTGGGGAGCCCCAGGTCGTGTGGGGCGGGCGGCGGGCGCTCCGCCCTAGCTTCGGCCAGCCTGAGGGCGGCCAGGCGCCGGTTCTCTTGACGCCACGACAGCGCCGTGAAACTCTCGAAGTAGGACCCATCTGTTTCTTGAACCCTAAATAGAAAATGAAGATGTTATTTTTGATGTAATTTTCCTCAATGGTGAAGGAGCTTTTATTGAATATTGTTCTGATTGTGTAATCGGTGGCACGTTTTAGTACCGAATATAAGTAGGAAATTCTAAAATAGGCTCGATTATATCGCCATTACTATGACAATTTCTTTTGTATTACGTACTTATGGGTGATTGCGGTTTTATAATGCTAAAAATGACCATCATATTTCAATAATGGCCTCAGGTATAACGCACTCAAGTCTAGATTTTAATATCGATCAGAAAAAAAGTAATAATATCTTGAAAGCTTAGCTCAATATAATATGATGGATGATCATAAAGCCTCATAAAGTCTCTTCGAATCACGCGAAAATATTTCCCGGACCATATTTTTTCAGAACTCCCAAAATATGACAAAGCGTTGTCGTGAAGGGAATAAGAGTAGACGCAAGAATGCGAGGTAGTAAACATTATATCATACATATCAACAAGTCAACAACAATGGGGACGGGGAACAATACGTGTAGGCATTCCTATTGAAACCTTTCCGACACGGAGTGAACTGTATTATCTATTGGGAGTGATTCGCGTCGGTGACGGGACATTAAGCCGGCACGGCTGGCGTAAGCGGCTGTGCGTGACACTTCCCTTCGCTCCTATAAAACGTCACTTAGTGAATTACGTTACAGCACTAATGGACTTGCTGGTGACAACTATAGAAATGTGAATTCTAAAACCCAGTTATAATAATTAACGACAAGCAATGTATTCTAAATATGTTTGTGATGAAGCTAACCGAAATCTGACAAAGGTAAAGGGTTTCCAATTAGTTTCAGTAGGGTGAAACTAAGGAATATAGTTACACCCTGCCTGATGGTTTGTTGTATCTTGCCGATTAATTTTGACCTAGGCTTAAACCCAATAAGGTAAACAGGCTAGTGTTTTAATGACTAATTTAGGTTCACGTGCCAATGATCTAGCAATTAAGTTAAATCATGAAGACTCGAACAACTTCAAAAGGAAATCAACAATTTTTAAAACCGTAAAGGTACACCAAATTACTTAAGTAGAGAAACTCTACGTTACAGATATTGTTTTGTATTGTCGCTGTATTGACGCTGCTCGATATTAATATAATTTAATATAGATAATAGATAGAAAATAATTTATCGCTATATTTATCTTGATAACATTTTCATAACATTCATGTAATACATACCTGGGTCTATGTTATTTAAAAAGCACTTTTACATTATCTTGTGACAGTGATCGATTGCAAGACTATCATATGAAAGCTTGTAACGACTATACTACGATAAATAAATAGCACTATCGATTTGTTCAGTACGCCTTCTGAATTATATGGTAGAACACTTTATCCAATTAATAATTAAGAGCACAATATTGCTAACCAAGAACATTGCTGTCTAACTATAAGCACAGCTATAACACAATTTAAAGACACGGCTATTAACAGTAACTTAAAATAATTGAAATTAAAACTTACCTAATAATTAATATCATGTCACATATTGAACCTGAATTCTAGCGGGAAAATGCAAAACGAAAACAAGTGACAATCGAAATTAGTAAAGAAAAAAAAATTGTTTACTTTTGAATTTCGATTATTCTTGGAAGTTAATTGAACAAAGAGTTGAGAGTTGGTTAATAAAAAAAAATGTGATTCCTTCTAAATAATAATGTGTCACAATTAAAATACTCGTAACCTCTACAAAGTTACTTACCTAATTTACTAATCAAAACATGAACTTTGGATACGCAATGTGAGAAGAAATGGTTTCACATTACTTTCTTCTCGTTGTTTCCCCTGCCGAGCAGTTTGCACTCCAGTTTTCCCAGAATGGCGTCGTAAGAAATACTGAATAATGCAGATTGGTAAATAAATACTTTAAAGGGTATTCAATTACGTTTAAATGCCGACTTGAGTAAGGTTTCCTTTTCAGTTCCGCTTTATAAATAAAAACATAAGCGTCTTTTCTCTTGAAAAGATCTTAGGTAGGTAGTTAAAATTAAGCTTTTACTTGCCTGTAATTTCTCATTTTTACAAAAGACTCCTCATTAAAATAAATTAATTAATGTTTCTTCCTGGACTTAATGATTTTGCTGTTTAGACATTGGTAAGACGATCGTTTTTTGTTTTATTTTACCTGACGTGAAGCCGAACGATCGTTTAGTTATTTACTTTATCAAAACTTTATTGGCGGCCAGTACGTCCAGCCAGTAAATCATATTAAACCTCTTGGTAGGAAAGTTAAGCGGCACGTTTAGCAGTTTTGTTTTACTTACGAATATTAATATTGGTGGATTATTTCATTACATGAATTTCATCTATGCATCCTACTTGAATAACATTATTTACTTGTTGACACTGGTTTTGTGCAAAGATGAAGCCATAATTGAAAAAGAAAATAAACGTGGCTAGTACGTCCAAGGTGCTTAGAAAAAAAAACATAAGTACAGCACGAAGCGATAATAGAAAAAAAAGTTTTTTTGTACTTTTTACTGACATCACAATACATAACCGTACTGGCCGTTATCACTAAACGCAGCGGCGTGGGCTGCCACGGGGGCGTGATGGATGGACGCGCTGCGAAATAGAACGTAGCCGCTGACTACCTAGCGAAACGCAGGATTGATGAAGTCGCCGAATTGCAACTAAATGTATCAGTGACGTCGATATGACACACGATGTATCATACCCACATTGCTTCTAATGGACGACACGTTTTTTCCAAAGACAGATAGCCTCCAAACGGTTTGTAGTATTATTTGCTTTACTGTGTCCTATTTATCTGTTGGTCAGCCTGTCTCTGTTAGCGAACCATTATCTTGGGAAAACTGTTGCACACTGTAGTCTCCAAGTCCTACCAATTACGATACGATTAAACTAAAAGTTAACCGTCAGCTAGCGCATATTCTCACATCAAGTATACGATACAACATTAACAAGCCTCGAGGTTTAAAAGTTCGAAATTCACTCAACAAAATGCTATTTAACGAGCCATTCGGCGTAATCGTAAACAAGAATCGAAACGTTGATGTCTCTTCTCATCGAGCGTAGTGTTGTGCGTGTGTTTACGATGTTTAATTTATTGTAAGTAGGTCATCGGGCGACCTGTTGCACGTCCTTGCACGTCCCCCTCCCCCCACCTCCTCGCCACGCATCATGCCTCACCTCACACACTTTTCCTTCCAATGAAAGCTGCGTTATTGCTCTCTTATTCGGGAAACATTGATAAAGCGCGGCGGGAAGCCTTTCAGCTACATACTGATGAAAGAAAGTGTCTTAATCAAATGAAACCTCACGACTCAAGTTTACAGTGTTTCATCACAATTACTTGGCTCCGTTCTGCGTCTTTCAATTTGTTTAACCGACTTGCGAATAAGGACTAATTTAAGACTGGTATTATGATGAAGAAAAGACGCGCAAAATCGACTCACAATGTAAGGTTTTCATATTTAAGTACCATTGAAACCATTAATTCCAAAAATAGCGCTAACCCTTGCCCTTTCAAGTACAGGTAAACCGATAACAATGATTTCCTGTCAATGTAGGAAAATGTAATGTTTATTGAATATCCGCTGCCTATAAATACATAAACTTTATCAGCGGCGTAACAAATTGAATTTCCCTTGTGCAGGATATGGGCTTGTCCTAACCCTAATTGCTCCCATTAGGGATATGAATTGAACAATGAACTGTCTCCGAGGAAGGAATGAACCCATCGACCTTTCACGAGCGTGGTTTGCACATTAGTAAATGTGTATTTAACATTGACCATTCATTGAAGGTTTAATAGCAATTTAAATAACTTTTTACAGCGATTGGTAATTCAAGCTACGAACGCTAAAGGGTTTATATTAAAGGTCAAATGGTAATGAAGTTAATGTTGATCATTCATAGAAATCGTCCTTAATTCAAACAATGCTCCTCCAACTGTCCGCTTTCTCGATAACCGTTGTTTTTGCCAGGTATTACCATATTAGGGATCAAACATGTTGGAAGTGACCTTTGCTATGACGCCTTCCAAGAATTAGGGCCGAGCTTATCTTAAAATACACAATACACATTGTATTCATATTTACAGTTTGTAAATATTTCTTGATATAACCTCTATTTAACCTAAGGTGCAAGAATGTTGCCTTGAACACAAAGTGGAATCTACATGATTTTAAGGTGGTTGCATTTTATACTTATAAATATTTTAGATATTACATGCTGAAAACAGACATACAGGGTGTTATTGAATTAATGCAACATAGTAGGTATTAATATGAAAATGTAAGTCATCGCTACCTAGTCGCGTGATTATTAATTAACGTGTTTATCAAAGCAAGAATTGAGTAATTTCAAATCAGTCAAACTCATATTTCATTCAAAAAGACATTGTTATAAAGGTTCCCTCGAAAATTTGGAATAAAATCATACTCCCATCGAGTGCACTCGATACAAGAGTTTCGAAAATCATATCGACGAATCCACGGCACAAGTACACACTCATCCGTGAAACATCATCCTCCCTTTACCCTTTCCCGTTTTACTTTTTCGGGCTTCAATTCTGCTGAGGGAAAAAATGACATTCAAGCGGTGGAATAAAATAAGAGGCAATAGGCACGGGGTTTAATCAAATTTTCTATTCTGCCAAATGGGACTCCAGACCAGCTGATAAATTGACTCATCTAGACAGAGACGTGCCAAGTAGCACCTGACTCGACTCGATTCGATGCGTATTTAAATCGATTCTTAGTCTGTTGCGTATTATAGTTAATAGGATTTTTATACTAATAAAAATCTACAACTATTAATTATTTTTGACGTAACGTAAATTATTTACCCAGCTAAGTACCGACTAATATTTTAGCCAACCTGCACCCAAATGCAAAATAAGTATAACAGCCAATAATAAACAAAAGTAGAATTCGTGACTCGACAGATAGAGACATAATGTAAAAAATTGTTTTCTTCGTCTTCAGCAGTATTTTTATAAAATGTCTGGAATAAGTAATTTTATTATTGTTTGCCATATAAGTTAACTTGATTTGACGTTTTTTACAAGTTCCACTTAACAAAAATAGCGCCTCTATTTTCCCGACGACTTTACTTACTGGCACTGATTACCAAAATTAAATACTGACTGCTCCGAAGCCCAAGTTAATATTGTTGAATAATTTTTGCTATTTTTGTACTTGGCTTGATTGCCTTTCTTTCACATTTATTACTTTTTAATAAAAGTACCTAACTAAGTAGGTACTTAGATATGGTACTAAAACGTAACATTTTCGTTTCGTCTCTATTACATCGTTTTACTTTGAGGTGGATTTTCTTGCAAATCCGAGATGACTCCATCTATATTTAATTATATTATTAATAAAAACTCATTTACTGCCAGGATTTCAAATCTGTCGGACGTCTACTATGGATATTTGTTACTCGATCACGCTGAAAAGGCTGATCCGAAATAAATGAGAAACCCGAAGCCCAGAGGATTATCTCGTCGCAAAACTAGTTAATTAAATACACAAATGACGGTATAAATACTTAAACACACATGGCTTAATTACAATTAAGTAACTTTTAGATTTTGTTTAGAATTAAATATTTCGTATTATCTGTGTGTAACTAACTAATTAATTACGGGATAAGCCGTTATAGATTAAGCCAATAAACACATAAAAATTCATTGTATTTGTGTACACATTATAATTATTGGAATATTTTAAGGATTATATTCGTTAACTTTCTGTCGTCCTGGTAATCTCAAAATCTTAGTAGGAATATCACAGATGGCATATTATAGTGATAATTATAGTACCTACATATTAAAGTGGTAGACGTGTCAGAATATTACATTTCGTTATTCTAATTGTCATAGTCGTAACACTTCTAATCAATCATCCAGGACAGCGCCGATAAACATGAGCCTGTTCGAACGTGAGCATACTATTGATTAATATCTCGAACCGTACAACATGCCTGCTAGTACATATGTTAGATAATGTATGTATCGTGTGGGAACTTGGGCACCAATCATGCGAAACTCTAATGAGCACTTACCGAAATGGTGTGTGTTTACTATTACGTAACGTTTAGTTACAAATAACGTCAATATCGTTCAGTTTGTACTAACATTTCCACAAGTCAAGGGCAAAGCTCTTTTGGGAACTTGGTAGTTGTTACATTTACATGTTCAACGAAAGTGAATGAAAGTTTACTATACATATCAGCGTCTGGCAGTGACGTGATAGTGAATATTGTGCGCTCAGATTCTTATTCGAGTGTTCCAGGCTCATCGCTATTCGCGACATGGCGCGTTTCGGCGCGAGCTGCCGCTAATTTGCAATTCCCTTCCGAGGAAACACGTTAATATCCTTCGAGAGGCTGTGATTTCCCCGATATCATTATTTGTCTTGCTGGTCTTTGTTGTGGCGATAGGGTTCAGAATTCCAAAGTAAAAGTAAACCGTTCCCTCATTCACCGACACGCCGGGCCAACAGGGAAAGTGTGTGTGATCACTGAATATTAAATGAAACTGTAAATTCTCAATGAAGCGGTTGATTTTTCGTGTGTATCTTTATAAAGTATATTTTGTCGCATTTTATGACTGAAAGCCTCTAACAAAAGGTTATTTGTAGTTGGTAGAAGTAGGTATACGAGTTGCGAACTCGCGTACGGAGTGTTTACCTCAGCCCCTATTTTTTTTATGTTGACAAAGAGTTTTCTTTAGTACTTTTCTTATAATAACTAAGGTACTTGATACAAATAAGGCCTACCTAACTTTAAATGCTTATATTTCAATAAATATTAACGTCAGTCAACAAAAACAAGGTTAATTAACTTCTTCCATCCTTTAATTTTAGCAATATTACAAAAAATAACACAATGTTTAACTAAATCTATTCAAAATAAGCAAATTACGAAACCACTGATTTTGGCTTTATTAAATCACCTACACGGAATAAGGCCTATATGATTCAAATGCCTGTAGACCTTAAAATTGAGGTTGTATTAAACAAAATTCGGTCTTATAACATTAAACACGTCGATTTGTTTGAGTTATCAAAATTTTACATACCAAGTAAACAGAAATATACTGTATATCTCTAGATAAACTTAAATACCACTTATTAAGAATAATACATAAATCTATACTTATAATAAATCTGTAGAGAGGTCAATTCTGTACNCCTCCTCCATACGCGTATTAGCTATGGCGGGTTCAGTTCCAGTCACCCTGTATGTAGAAAAATACACATTATGAGTTGAAGTGTAAAGTTTTAATTATAAAAATTAATTCTAAAGAATGTAAAAACGTATATTATATACAACGTGTCCCAAAATTCAAGGATAAGCCGGCGCCGCAGGGTGGACATAGTCATGACTACTTTAGGAAAAATAAGAAAAAAAATCTTTCTCAATTATTTTTTAAGTTACACAATAAATTATGAAATTCGTCGAAAATTTACACCCCTTATGATATTTTACATTACCACGACCACAATTTTTCAAATACTTCTGTTTTTTTGTTTGTATCGGCAACTTAAGTAGTGCTGCTGTCCACCCCAATTCTTAAAACCCTCAGAATCCTTACAGTTTTTACACAAAAGTTAATCAAAATATGATATTTCCTTAAAATTTTGAACGATTTTTACTTTCACTCCACTTTGTCTCGTCGTTTTGTATAAAAACAGTATGAACACTACTGCGGCAAGTTTTTTATAAAGTTGACGCAACTATCCAAGATTCCAAAATGGTATAATACTCTAAGAAAACTAGTCGCAAAAAAGATTATGCGTACCATTTTTACAAGCACTTCGCTTGTTAGTTAGTATGGGATAAATCTTGCAATTAAATTTAAAACCAGTTCTCCTCAACCAGTTGAGCTGAAATTTGGTATACTTATCCGTAAGTCAACTGTCAATTTCATCAAACATGAATCTGTGAATCGGTCTTGAAGGAAGATAAATAATTAACATTAATTAGCTGTGTTTTGTGTACAGCGAAAGGATAAAAATATTTCAGTAATATAATTCCATCATGTTGAAGTTTGAAATTGTCTCATCAAGGACTGTCGAGGGGGCTGAGAGTGAGAAGAAATACGTTGCCTACATGTTGCAAGTGAGACAGGACAACAAAGAATCTACGGTATATGACCCGGACCCAGCTAATGTAGAACGAAGATACACTCATTTCCTAGACTTGTACAACGGCCTGAAGAAGGACTGTCCAGCTTTGTTGAATAATGTGTCATTTCCGAGGAAGGTTAGTCATTACATTGTTGTTTGCTTACACTGGGCGTGTGCGATCATTCTCTTTGTTCGTTTTGCATTAAGTCATCACAAAATAAACTGATGATACAGATGTAACTAAGATAATTATGGAAAATTCCCATTTTTGAAGTTTCAAATGGTTTAATTGTATTTAAGANCATTTCCCAATTCATTATGTAAATTGTGTTGTTTATGTATTTCAGATAGTGGTTGGTAATTTTGAACCAAACCTAATTTCAACAAGGTGTACAGCTTTTGAGACGCTGCTGCAGCTCATTTCAGGCGAATCAAGGTTAAGAGACTGCCCGGCATCTATTAATTTCTTCCAGAATATTGAGCTAATTGAAGCGAGAAAACTCATTGAAGAGAAGAAGTTCGATCAGGCCCTTTCAATCCTAGAAACAAGCTTTAAATTACTGAACAAGGTAAATATTATTATTCCCATATCATTATGTAATTGATTCATTATTATTTAAAATAAACAAAGCTGTATTAATAGTTAACAATAGGCACATTACTTTTAGTATCTTATATCTGCATTAGCATAGATGAATTGATTTTCTATTATCTAGTTTAACCCTTAACCACCTAGCACCTATTTCTGTCCTTTAACCACCTACGTGCGGTCACAGAGACCGCTAATAAATTATTGCGATTATTTTGGGATCTGTGATAAGAAATTAAAGTTCGATGAAATAAAATGCATGTCTATACCTACTTGCTTTATTTAAGCGTCACAAATTAGCAAAAGTAGTATAAAAGTTTTATAAAAATGGAATAATATCTATGACATAAGGAATATGGCACCAAAAATAACTGTACTAAGAAAATGAGATCTTTATTCTAAAATACTTAAATGTTTCACTTCTTTTTCTTATTTCTAATAATTTAAATAAACTAAAAATAAAATCAAACAAAAAAACTAAACAAAAAATTTAAAAAATAACAAAATTGCAAAGCCTCAACTTATGCATTTTTTTGCGGCAGTAACAACTCATTTTTTGCGAACACTCCAAACAAATAGGTACTTTACACACGAAACATGGGTAAGACGTGTTGCGTTTCTTTTTTGAACTTCAAGTCATCATCATCATCATTTTCGTCTTCGTCACCCTCAATTTCAGATTTAGATCCACTCTCTTCAGCCTGCTCTTGATTAACGCTTACATCAGGTTTGACGTGGATGCAATCGTCGCTAGAAAGGTCATCTTCGTCCGAGATTTCTTGCTGAAGACATCTTATAATATTTTCGTCATTTTTACTCATTTTGATTCTAAAACAGTAATAATAAAAAGTCACACAACCACCTACGTGCGGTCACGGAGACCGCTGGCGAATTTATTTTACTTACCCTGGCCAAACGCGTGCACGTACACACTCACCGAGCACTAGCGCGACACCGAATGGTGTGTAGAAAAGGTACATGAACGCGCTTTGTCGCACGCCACTCACACGCGGAAATATTTGAATTTGAAAAATCGTTGCGGTCTCTGAGACCGCAGGTAGGTGGTTAAGGGTTAAATAAAGTTAGGAATTTCCGCTGTGGGTGTGGTTTACTATACTATGCATAAATAATACTAATTATCCTTTTCCAGGTGTACACAGACAGATCTCGAGTAGTTCTGGGTGCACTGTGCCGCATTGTAGCATGTGCCGAGGCCAGCGGTGGGGCGCTAGCTGGTCCAGTAGAACGATGGGCACAACTGGCATTGAGACGATATGAAGCTGTCAGTGATTCGGATCTCTTATTAATTTATGTTCCATTACTACATTCTTGCATTTCTATCTGGTAAGTTGGACTTTTCAAATCATGCTTTATGAATTCAATAAAAATCTTATAAATATGTTATGTTATTAGTTCATAAAACATATAATTATTACTGTTATGTATTTATGAAATACTTCTGATTTCAGGGAAACTCTGGGACGTGATAAGGCAAAATTAATTGAAGAACTAAATGATCTCCGTAAACGGGGGATGAAAGTCGATAGTGCTCCAAAGCTCATGGAAGCTGTGGATAACCTACATTCTTCCATATAAAGTGATCTGATTATGCTTACTAATTTAATTATAATATTTATAATGCTCTGTTGCTTTGATGAACCAACTGGACGGAATGTTATGTAAGGACCAATCATATTTTTTGGATTTATTCTTTTAATTAAGCATTTTATCTCACAAAATGATGCTCAATTGATATTATATTTTATTTTTGTGTGGAAACCATCATTATACAAGGTCAACAATGAGATATTGTTAAAGATATATTTATTATAACTGATTGCTAAAAGCATGAAGGAGATTTTTAAATTGATTATCTCATTATTTTTAAGTAAAGCTATATTAATGAATTCAAATGATATTCAATCAGATGTGCCGATGATTTTAACTTGCATCTAAAACTGATATTTTATGTTTGATACTAGGACTTCCATATTATTATATCTATTTAAGATTTCAAATAATATAGTGCCTGATGTATATTCTTTCTCTAGCCTATTACAATTTTCACTAGTGTAACTATTAGAATTGGATGTTCATATTATATTATTCTGCTTTAAGAATTTAAATCACGAGAACATTGTCAATTTGTCTTTGATAGTGAGAATAATTTAAGCATATTAAACTTTTAATCATTATAAGCTACATGAAAGCAGCTTAATATTTATTTTACGTAACATTTTTTTTAGGAGTGCTGTAAAATATTTACAATATACATTATAATTGTAAAATCATATACTTACCTATTATAAAAAGATGAATTACCTATTTTAATTTAATAAAAAAATTGCATGAAAGATCTGTGGATAGTAAAATAATATTTTTACATACTATTACCGGTTATAAGAGCAACTGGGGTTTACTTTTTATATTTTATACTTTTTTTGCCTCTACCTAGTTCCGATCAACTTTCGTTGACTGGACATTAGGTAACATTACATACATTTTCATGTATGTAATGTGCAAAGATGAGCTAGGCAATACTTTTTTGTATTATTCGCCTACAAACATGCAGAAGGAAATTGTTTTAACATATAATTAATTAACGAATTAAGATCAATCATGAAATTACAATTTAACATGTATTGTAAAAATACTATATGTAGAAAAATACACATTATGAGTTGAAGTGTAAAGTTTTAATTATAAAAATTAATTCTAAAGAATGTAAAAACGTATATTGAGCGTGCTGTGCCGCGAAATGTGAACCTACATTTTGTGGATCATATGCTCCACGCCACAGACGGGGCCATTTTGACATTGGAGCATATGCTCCACGCCACAGTGAGGTGGTATTATATATATGTTCATTACAGTTGATAATTTGATATTTAAAATACAAAAACTATAGGATTGTCGATTTACGATTATTGCAGAAGTTTAAGGTGTCAATTTATTGACTGGATTAAAACCTGTATATCAATAGAATGTTTTATCTTATCATTAAAAAAAATTGAGAAATATAAACCAAAAACCAGGGCTTTATGTGTGAAACTAATTTAAGGAAAATGCTCTATTTAATTTATGTTATGCGCCTTATACAATATAGCTTTTATGTAAATAATATCACATTTATTAATATTTTAGTATTTTAATATTTAGTTGGAAGTAACATAACATTAGCAAAATGGTATAAATGTCACTATTGAACACCATTAAAAATTTATGTAAAAAAAGTGATGTCACAAATCATTTTTTTTTAATTGGGCAATTTACCAATTTAAATAAATTTAATACACTTTGATTGTCATGATCTCGGAATACCTCTGTACTGGAGTAAAATTAATTTTTGCTCTGAATAAATGCATTAGTACATACCTAGTCTACTCTTATTAAGATCTTCGTTTTAGTCTTGAAAGGATGCTTATTTGTAAGTCAAATTATGTCATCAATTCAAAGTCAAAATTAGGTACCATTCTATGTTAATGCAGTTTTATATTGGTAAGATTTTCAGTGATATTATTTTATTTAATATTTACACGATACTGCTAACATTTAAGGTGACTGATATTTTATATATTTGTAGCTGTTTAGATAATAAAACACTATATTTGAATGTATTTTTTTATTTCTAATAATTTCGATGGCGGAGGAGCAAATCCAAAAACCTTTACCTACTACGCCATGATCATTCCAAATTTAATAAGGGATAAGCTCACTAGTTGGCGCCACTGGCGAGCGACTGACGCTTGTTCGTTAAGCGATAAGGACTTAAATAAGTAGATTAGAGTGTAGGTACTTTCGAGAAGCTCCAAAGTTGGATTCCGAGGAAGAATACGTTGATTTAGTACAAAATTATCTTTGTGGTTGGTACCTTAGTTAAAAACTTAGAACGGAATTAGTTGCATGTCGTCGGTCGCCCTACGAAGTCTGACAACAGCGTTTTCACAATAGAAAATTAAATTACTTAGTAGTTTAGTAAAACTAGAGTTACAATAAAGTACCTTACACTACCTGCAGGATCTTCAGGTTAACCTTTGTTACCCTTTGCATTCTACATCTAGAAGATAATAGGGAAGGCAAAAACTGTACCTCCCGTAAAACAATCTACTTAATACTCATAAAAGGCAATCAATTTACTAAATTGATCGGCTGTTTTGCCCTTCATAAGTAAATGAATTTGGCCCCACAAAGTAATAGCTGTTATTACTTCGGCCGCGGAACATGTGGCTAATGTTCTCATAGTTGAGTAAGTAGGTATTAGTTTGTTCGACGATATTGAAGCTTTAAATGAACCCTTACCACGAATATTTTAGGTTTGATAAACTTGTAGTTTAACTGTAGGTAGAAATCGGTCTCTTGCTTATCTAACACAATAGCATGGCTCACCCGGAATCAAATCCGCAACCGTGGGGCATTTACCTACTTCGGTGCGCTAACCACCAGGCTAGGGTAGGCACCCGCTATGTCATTATCTTTATGTAGGTAAGTATGTACGTTAGATACTGTAATGGCCAATAGTAAATAATTCATTACTATCTACACAAGTATTGTTTGCACTGTAAAACTTTTCCAGGTAAGCCTACACTATGAAAGTGATGTGCTTGAAATCGAAAAGGCTATTAGTACTACCTATAGTATGTACCAACTTACCTACCTACATACATGTATAAANCGTATAAATTAGATATAGGTGCCTACTATGTTACGATTGTTGATTTAGCGGTGGGCTGCACACGCATATACCAGGGTTGGCAATTTTGATGTGACAACTTCCTACTAGTCTTTTAGTAAAATCATTAAAAAATCGCCTACTTTTCTTGGTCGAATTTTATGGCTATTTTTAGAGTTCTACAAAGTTTTAAAGTACTTTTTAGAAGGATTATCTGTTTCAAATTAATATTTCTTTACCACTTCCCTAGTTCAATTAATTAATCAAAATAAACTTAATTTTTTTAAATAGGTTTGTACCTACTCGTAAGTTACCGAGAACAATTTTATTTATAAATAACACGTTTAGGACTGAGTACCTACCTAATTTATGTATTTTTGTGTATTTTGTTATTGAGGTATTTAAAACTTCCTTTTATTTTTTATTGATCGGAATATTTTATTACCTGTACACTACCTACCTACCTACAATACCTAGTACTATTATAATATTTCAATGTAAGTTGTGTTGCATTAAAATATCTTTTTACGGTATCCATGAAATGAAAACACTAGTTAGTTACTTTTGAAAAAAAAGTGAGAAATTTACCTAATAAATGACTGTTTTATCATCACCATTTTGAGTCTCGTTATGCAATAAAAATGTACCGAACCCTTTGCACACGTGAAGGTTCTAGTTTCTTGACTATCATCATCATTTCAGTCACAGGACGTCCACTGCTGAACATTTTGGCCTCCCCCAATGATCCACCTATTGGTTGGAGCGGCCTGCATCCAGCGCCGTCTGAACACCTTTGACGTGGATGCGATGTCCCACCCATGCTCCACTTTCCGGTAGGTACTTGAATATTTTTTTTCATTAATTAATTTTGTCTACTTTGATTTTCTGTCGGCACCCCTGGTAACCGCAGCCCTCAAATCAGCTAATTGAATCGCGTGGCCTGTCTCCTTACACTCGGTACTGTCGTCCGCCCTGCGAGTGCCTTAACTCGCCTTGTTAATTCAGCGAGGAAATGCTTAACGGCACGCGATACATTCTTTACTGATTTATCAATTAACGTTGTTAAGGACAGTCCATTTGCTGGCGAAATTATGTTATTTAAGCCGGGGTTTTAGACAAGTGACTTCTAAAGTAAAACTATTTTCCTATCAATCTAGGTACTTACAGTAGGTAGTTATAGTACAGTGCTGTCTCTAGATAGGCCATCGAATTTTCATGACCAGACTTAGGTAAGTGTCTATTGCATCAAAAAGTTAGTGTTGTTGAAGACATACCTGCTACCTGATCCTCTTTGCTTATGTCATTGTATGGTTGGTGTATCATGATCAACACCTTCACCAGGCCTGGCTCACTCCGCGCGGTACATCCGATAATTACCTACAGCGAAGCGCCCCGCCGGCGGGTATTATATCAGTCGAGTGTCACGCGCGCGCCCGTCAGGACGCTGGCGTGCGTTGTAGTATGATTATAATTCTATGATCGAAGTATTATTTAAAAATGGACATACAGAGAAAGAAATATTGTGCGGCGTTCGGGTGTTTAAATTCGAAAAGAAATCTACCGGATTTATCTTTTTTTTTAGCTTCCCAAAGATGCTGAAAGGTATGTTGGCCATGTAGGTAATCAATAATTCTTAGGATAGTATAGGAACCTAACCTACTATGACTACTGCTCAGAATGCGTTCGTTCGTTTCCTCATTACAAATAAGTAGATTAATTATTTTTTCACTAGACAGCAACCCTAACAGCGTAAGAAGAGTTCAGAGGCACGCGATAGAAAGAGACAAAACTTGTAGGTGAATAAAATTGTAGGTACGTAGTGCTGTGCGAGCTGAATTCCACTGTATCGCGTCGTAGCAAGACTCGCATTTATTTAAATCGTCTTGCGGAGTAATCCTTCTGTACCTGTACTATTACTTATTNAAATTCAGTGAACTGCTCCTGAATCGAATGTACCTACCACTACTATTTCTATTTATTTATATTAACCGGCAGACAGTGGTGACTGAGTTTGTTGCGGCGCTTCTTCTCAGCACTTGCCAAATGTTGGTCTCGAAGCGCTGGTAGGGTAAAAAGATTATGAGACATGTAGAGGCTCCTTAAGAGCAAAATGACGATTTGTAAGAACTATTTATTAGTCCAAACAAATAAAGAAATTTTGACTTTGACTTTGACTTTGACTTCATAAGTAAATGAATTTGGCCCCACAAAGTAATAGATGTTATTACTTCGGTCGCGGAACATGTGGCTAATGTTCTCATAGTTGAGTAAGTAGGTATTAGTTTGTTCGACGATATTGAAGCTTTAAATGAACCCTTACCACGAATATTTTAGGTTTGATAAACTTGTAGTTTAACTGTAGGTAGAAATCGGTCTCTTGCTTATCTAACACAATAGCATGGCTCACCCGGAATCAAATCCGCAACCGTGGGGCATTTACCTACTTCGGTGCGCTAACCACCAGGCTAGGGTAGGCACCCGCTATGTCATTATCTTTATGTAGGTAAGTATGTACGTTAGATACTGTAATGGCCAGTAGTATATAATTCATTACCTACTATCTACACAAGTATTGTTTGCACTGTAAAACTTTTCCAGGTAAGCCTACCCTATGAAGGTGATGTGCTTGAAATCGAAAAGGCTATTAGTACCTATAGTATGTACCAACTTACCTACCTACATACACGTATAAATTAGATATAGGTGCCTACTATGTTACGATTGTTGATTTAGCGGTGGGCTGCACACGCATATACCAGGGTTGGCAATTTTGATGTGACAACTTCCTACTAGTCTTTTAGTAAAATCATTAAAAAATCGCCTACTTTTCTTGGTCGAATTTTNGAGCTCTAACTATGTAATTATTTGTTAGATTGACAAATAAAAATATATGTGTCCAATATTTTTTGATATTAAACATTACGGACTAAAAAAATGTTTTTAGGCAACTAGCCTATTCTGTGCGTTCGATTTACTACTTCACTTAAACAAGCATCGTTTGTGAATACGGGTGTTAATAAATCTCTAGAGGAGAGACTGTCTAAATGTAGGACTTAAGCTGCATTAAGTTGGATACTTATTCCGAGCTAACTTGAGGTGGTGCGAAATCAAGCTCCTTTTACTTCTGTATTTTAGTCCTATATTATAGCCGCCCTAGGGGGCGCTGTTTAATTTTTCATACAAAATTTTTCGATGACACTTTGAATACGCAACGAAATGAACTCGAAAGTTTTTCCTACTAGAGGTACTGAAGTTGGTTCGCTGTTGTGAACGACTCGTCATCGATTGATCCATAAGTGATCCACGAGAATCAACTCTGCATGGACAGTGAAGTTCTTAAGACGCAAGTTTGTTTAAGCGCGCCCTGTAACCGCCATAAATCAGCCGTTCAGAATTTACGAGGGCCCTCCGCAAATCGGTTTATATTTTCGATAAATAAAATTGGCGCGGGTTTTGCGAGGTAAGCAGAGGCCGTTAGGAGCGCGTCGCCGCCCGGCCCGCCAGCTGCCGCGTGCACATAAACCCGACTACCCTCGCGTTTTCTTGCTGACAATTTTTTCCTGCCCCGGTCATTACGCAGCTGGGCCCCGAGACAAAACGGCGAATCGTTTAAGCCCTCTCCGGAGACCGTCCAATTTTATTGTGTGTACCTAGTCGAAATTGATATGCCGCGCGAGTGGCGCTGCCGATGCCTCTATGTGACGGACGCCGCGCCGCTCTCCCATTTGCTGCCTCGCAAGTTTTGTGCAGTAAACCCACGATGATCATTGGTTTTTGATGTTTTGTTTCTTTCTTTATTATTACGATATCATAAGTTATAGCTCTGAGATAACTTTTGGCTCTAAGTAAGTAGTGGGTACTTTTTTTGGTATCATGAATATTGTAAATATTGCAGTGCTCCCTGTCCTTATCATAGACATTAGAGAGAGGATTTTAAATCTTCAACTGAAATACAAACTTCTTGAGTTATCTCCGTCAGTATTTTGATGTCATCTTGACTGAGTCATAATTTTAGTAAAATGCCGGTCAATATCCTTTTCATTTCCAATGTCTAACGATAAATCCGAATGTGATGTGACGGTGGTACTGGGCGTGGTGGTGGTGTTCGCTCTGCCGCTCACGCTCCTGGTGCCCGACTTCACGATATGGGACGTGATCCCCAAGGTCCGGGTGACGAGGTTCCACATCCTGAGCCAGCACCTCACGTGGCCGCAGATCAATGCTGCTTTGATCGCTTTGTTGTCGCTCTTCTTCTGTCTGTATCTGGAAATTAGGAAACGAAAGTAAGGATCATTATTATTTGAAACAATTAACAAGCTCACGTTATTATTGACCCTTCTGTTCTGCCCTTCATTTTGTTAAATAGTTCTTAACTTTTAAGTATTATCAAAATAAGGCCTTGATTGAAAAATTATGTAGAGTACAGCTCTTAGATGTTAGGTTAATTAGGCCGTTTGTGTTGTTTACCAGTCCAATCTAACGGTCAAAGTATCTTAAATTGACGTTTGATTTAAAGCAAACATAATACAAACACAGATAAGTAAATATGTAACCATTTATCACTGAAAAATTACACGTCTTACTTAAAATGTATAGCTTAAATTAACTGCTCATGTAGGTAACATGCCACGGAGTTTACCTTGATGTTCCATCGTTTGTATCATTAATTTGTTTACATAAAATCTTCCTTTCATATTACTCATTTGTTTCAGGCTAGACGACATGGTAGAAAAAGTGTTAACAGTCAGCCAAGCAACAGACGCGACTATGGAGGTAGAGCGCGAGCGGCAAGCGGCAGCCATGCGCGTGTGCGCAGAACTCCTGGACACTTCAGCGGAGCACTACGAGCACCTGATGCTGCTTCGCGAGGAGCTCCGCAGCCGCGAGAATCCCCGCAAGCAAATGCCACCCGCCATTGAACCTAGTGGCTCTAATATTTAGCCGCAATCCTTTCTTTTCTGGTCGATATTTGAAATAATCAGATGCCATCCGCCATTCAAACTAGCGGCTCTACATTAAATGTAATTTCAAGTTAACTTTAACTAGTTGATTTGATTGATCTTGTATTATAACAACTTTATTTCCCACAATCTTTCATCCACCAATTTTAATGAAATATCAACATATTTTATTAATCATAAATAGTGAAGTTTGCCTTTTAGTGATTGAAATGTGAAATTTTATAAGGCTGCGTTGTGCACAACCTATTATAATAATAGTTTTTCTTTTAGCTTTTCCATTTTAAGTTGTAGAGTACTCATTTATTCTTGTTTACTAAGAATAAATTAAAGAAACAGTTTGTTAATAAAACTTTATTTAATGAAATATTTTTTTCTTTTCTTTTTTATGTCATCAGATTTTATTTTAGCTAAGGATATTATTTATTGCAAACCAATTTGTATCATATTCTTTACATAGTGAGTACCTACTTTATCACAATTAGAACTTATTCAAACGATTTACCTAATCTACTTTTGAGTCTAGTTTCCAAACAAAACCTTTGTTTCTGTCACTAGTTTCTCCAAGCACGAAATCAGCATTAAAAAGTGCGGTAGTTAGAGCTGTGCAGTGCATTGGGTTTTATTCAGCGGAGCGCGTTCCGAGCCTCCAGGGACGTTGTCGCCGCGAAAAAACCAATCTGAAACGGCAATTATGGCAAATGACCTAATTAGAGAGCTGCGCTTGCGTGGACGGTCGAGACTTTTCACCTAAACTATTTTTGTTAGTGTCATGAGATAGGCCTATACTATAGATGACCCACGCTGAACTGTCCCACCAAACTCAATGACAGGGGGGCGCTACCATCGTTCAACTATATGGTTTCCAACATGGCAAAAATCTGAACCAGCGATCCGGTATTGACGGTGGCGCCCCACTGTCAATGTCATCGACAGGACAGTCCAGTATTTTGGAACTATAGCTGTAAACTGGAAAATAATATGGCGCTGAAATTAACATTTACGGACTCTACTTTGATTCGGCTATAACAAATTTGTGGTAGATTTATAAATTTCAAGATTTCAGGCAGGAACTCCGGTCGATTATTTATTGATGTGGTTACTGGCCTGTGACCATAGCCATTGTTCCTAATATCATTTTCTTAATTTGTATTTCTCTATAATATTTAACAGGCTGAAACTAGTGTCATATACATAGAGGTAGCTCGATAGTACCTACTAGGTGCATGGCCTTTGACTTTACAATGGTAACTTATATTCATAGCAGTTTATTTATTGCTTAGCTTCAAGGTGCTACCTAATTCAAAGGCATAAGCACAATTCCATATAAACATAAAACGAACCTATACACAGTGTGCAATTCCGGAATCGTACTAGCGCTACAGTTTTCGATCAGTCACCGCTCGCGCGCCGACACCGTCTATTTTCATTAGACGGATCCACCGGGGCGGATCATCCGCTCGCAAAAATAAATAAAACTGTTATTGAGATAAGCATCTGCGCGGCGAGGCTTTCCGCTAAGTCCCGCAGTGTCGCTCTGAGCAATGTACCGAGATATGTTCGGATTACGGCGCGCCGCAGTCCCGCTTCCCTCCATCCGCTGCTTTTCTTCTGTTTTGCAGCTGAAACCTCTTAACATAAACGGGACGACTTTACTTTTTCGGTTGTCGGATTGTATCAACTGTGTTTTGTTTTACGGAGCAGTTATATCTCGGTAATATATGGCGTGGTAAAATAGGTTGAATGAAATATGACACTGAACGCTGTAGCTATGTATGGCTTGTCTTCGTAAAAAAATGTTTTCTTTCTTTTTGTGAAGTGGAATACGGTTGTTCCAATTTAAATTAGCATGAACTTAATAATATCATTTTTGTTCGCTGTTACGTTTTCGGTCGAGATAGGCTTAATACTACTTAAGTTGTGAATAGGTACGTGTGTATTCATTGTTTGTTAAAAGATTACTGAAGTTACCAAAAGGATTAGACTTGTTAAATCTTAGTTTCCTTTTCAGATTTTCTTTTTCTGTGTGTAAACAACTTCGTTTAATCTAGATAATCCGATATAAACGATAAGATGGACAGGACTGTATCCATTGATTATCAAGTTTGACATGAATATGAATCGCTATAGAGTCAATATTGAGACCTGGAATATTTTTAGTTAGGTAACACACAAGTCTAAGTCCGCCGCAGAAAAGCGTATCGTGAGAAAGGCGCGGGTTATCGGCGGCAAATTGCCGCCCGCGCACCTACGGCACCTGCCTCGGATTAATTTCTCATCACGCCGCGTCCCGCCGGATAATGAACACGACATCCTCCGGGAAAAATGCCACTAAGCCAGGGATGTCTCTGCGCTTGATTAATAAACTCTCGGTGCGGCCCCGGCCTTACTTTTATGGCTGTCTTCAAATTGAAAGAGTGGACGGTTTGTTGTTCAATGAGTAGGCCTGAGTTTTATCATAAGAGGTGTCGTTTTACACGATATTTCGTTTTCCAAATGGAATCAACTTCAGGCCTTTTCTTTCTAGGTAAACGCTAGATTAATGCTTAAATCGGTAAATTCCAATACATAAATATACTTAGTAGGATTATACCTACACATTACATAGGTGGTAAGGTATTTACTTTTAGACCTGTACGTGTTTGAGATTACACCTACCGACAGGTCGCCATCAAAGCCAGATTTGCCATAATAATGTGAGTTCATGCTTTGTTATCTGCTAGTTGGGAACTGCTTAAGTTCTCAAGATAAAAATAGAGCATGGTACTTGGAGATATTTAGCCGCATTATTTTTGAGTCTCATCTGTTTAAAGTACCTATCACTTACCCTTTACGATAATTACATTAATATTGTCTTTCTGAAGTAAATTAATATACCCACAAGCAACTATAAAATATAGATAGATTTGAGATCTCTCTAGGTTCAGAAGCTGTATTTGAATCCAAAGTGAAGTAAATCATCATCATCATCATTTCAGCCATAGGACGTCCACTGCTGAACATAGGCCTCCCCCAATTCTTTCTACGTTGATCGATTAGTAGTGGCCTGCGTCCAGCGCTTCCCCACTACCTACCTGTACGATGTCGTCGGTACACCTTGTAGGTGGACGTCCCACGCTGCGTTTTCCGGTACGCGGCCTCCATTTCAGAACCTTACTGCCCCATCGGCTGTCAGTTCTGCGTACTATGTGCCTTGCCCATTGCCACTTCAGCTTCAGCAGTGAAGTAAATAATTTGATGACAATTCACAATAACCCAAGGTTTCCACTTCAGTACGAGCGGAGTTTAATAAAGTTTCTGCTGATTAAAGTTAATGGATAATAATTAATAATTGTGAGACATATCTTGTTAGGAGCTATTAGAAAACAGTATTGGAAGTATTAAATAATTAACTATTTATTACTTGGGCATTAAAGATATTATCTGCTTATTCTAGATATTTTATTACTGAAAATAGCTTTAACCGTGACTTGTATTATTATAACAACTCACGCCACTATAGTTCGGTGTGGATATATTGCACGATTTGTTATTGTAAAGTCCGCAAAACTGAACTAGTTAAAACGTGCAACCCCATCATGTTCACCCCTGGGACAGGAGCCGCGAAGACAAAAATGTTCATTGTATAGATCGGTAACAATGTACGCAAGCAGTTAACAGCGTTCGCGGGGCAGATGCCAATTTCACGCTCCGCGGCTCCTTGCCTTGTATCTTTTATTGTTTTTATTATTACCCTTAAAACGTACTTGTTAGGTGCCTCTACATTACGCGTATATTGGTACATCGTTATAATAACGCGTAGCAAGCGATACTATTTTTATATTGTTGTCATAAGAACTTAGTTTTAAATTGCAGACTCGTGTATCTTACAACGACTTCGTAGGTATTTGAATAACACTTTGTTAGTACCTTTAAAATTTCGTAACGACCAACAATTTTGTAATCGCGGTAAGCACGTGATGAGCTGCTTTTTAATTAAATGATTGGCCTGTTATTTCCTTGATACAATAACAATAAACTTTTATTTTTTGTCGTAATTTTTATAGGGGCCGTTACTGAGTAATTTTGGTGGTACCGAAATTTGATTTTAAACGGAGACAATGTGACCACAAGTCACGAAAGTGGCGGCCGAAGCGACAGCGCAGCCGCAAGATGGCTGGGAGCATCTGTCGGGTTGTCGCTCTTTCTTTTAAATAACACTACTTTGTGATGCAATTATTTGCTTATGTCATTATTATTGTGGTCGGGGCACACGTGAACACTTTCCTTAACCGACGACGCCTTGAGGTACGTAAATAGCTGGATATGAACGATCGTGTCATGTGTTCCCGAATTAACACACTTTCTGACTCTTTGGTACACTTCTTGTTATTGTTTTAACTTTAAAACAATTACAGTGCCCAAGACTTCAAGTGTCTTTGTTCCATAAACGTAACTACCTATTAACGCTTAACTAACTGCTTAGGCATATAAGCTAATGTGCTGTTCTGAATTTCAGCTAGGAACTTAAAGTGCCCACTTAACATCAAAATGTGTCTCTTAGATTTTGCGTGAAGTGTCTATCTGCTCACCTAATAACTATCCAATCACCCTCAGAAACGTGATTATTTGATTAAATACTTGCACTCGAATAAACTTTTCATTCGATTCAATAAAATGTGCAGTCGTTAATTTTTACTGAAAAATTTTCAGAGACTTGACTGTTCAGCAAACGAATGATAGTGATAACTGATATCGAATAATGGTCGTTACAGTTAATTGGTTTTAAGGGGAGTGATTTGCACCGCCGCATTTCGAGGTAATTTAAAGCGAAAATTACGAAGGAATGAAAATAACCTTAATGTTCTTAATTCTTCCAAGTTATCTTGTAAATAATTTGTATTTGAAGGAATAAATTATGCGTGTATATAATACCTTAGTAACTAAAAGATGCAGACCCCTAACAAAATTGTATGACTTTAGTTTACAGTTAAACGTGGCTAAAATTAATATTTTAGCCACGTTTATCTTCACTCCCTAGCTCTACATTTCATTCAATTGATCAAGTAAGACAGTAGGTAGTTAATATAGTTTAAACTTATCAATAATGAACTGGCCTTACTGCCTTGCACTCTAGTAAAGGTGTAGTGTACAGGTTAAATAAATGTCGCAAGGACCAAGGCTGCTACTATTTCCAGCAGTAAATCTGTTTGTACAACCTCTAAACTAAGTAATGAATAAACCAGTTAACTTAATAAAATAAATGAACATGGGCGTGAACACGGCACAAATCTTTCAATGGAGGCAGCTACCA